GTAAATATAGCCCTGGTGCTGTCCGCTTCATGGGATTTCTCTTTACAGTTCAACTCAGACTGCAGTCTTGATGAAAACCTTGGAATATGAGTCTACATTCGGCATTGCTATCCACAGTTTCCAAACATTTCCGTGACTGGACCCTGTGGGAGATGGCTGTCATTTCTCATTTCCCATTCTGTGTTATGCTTTATCTGTAGAGGGCGTTTGATCTGCTCAGACTTGGGGCTTGGACTTTCTACTCCACACGCCTCAGTCCGTGTTTGTCTCTCTGCCTCTCTCCTCCTCTCCTTGCTATGTCATTGGTTACTAGAAGCATATATTGCCTGTAGGCTTTGTCAGTTATTCTCTCTCCTCCGTAACCCTTCCTTTCATAGTTAATCTGCTCGTTTATCCCTCAAACTGCTTGATTTCACTCCCCCTATACTTTTCACCCACCCACACAGGCTTTGGCTTCTATATATTTAGTATAGAACCCACTTTTTTTCTTTCTAATGTACAGTATTATTTTGATAACTACATTACGGTTGGCATCAGAGGAGACGATGGGAACTGAAGAGGTGGGTGTTGGTTAATCCCTCTGCCCATCAAGACTGCCTTGTGTGGGTTTGCGTAGTCCACTTTAATCCCCCTCCAGAGAGGAGTTTCTTATTTATCTGCAACATTGATCCAGGTGCTCAGGTATTGATTTGAACAAGCCAATATCAGGGTTGAAATGCACAGTGTTGCTGTAGCCAGTTTTACAAAAGTCATTTTCAACAACAGTAACAAAGATTCACAATTTGAACATTCTGAAAATATGACATGTTACGTATAAAAAAACCGAACACGTTTAATGTCAAGTACTAAAACTGAGATATTGTAAGTTGTATCCTCTTGGAGATACTATACACATACTAGCTGTTGGGTTCAGAAATGTCACACACATTTTTCAAATAAGAGTAAATAAAAATCTGCTGCTTGCTACAGTGAACTGAACTGCCACTGTGAAGAGGCAGCATCTCTCAGCTCTGCAGTTTTCAACTAGAAGTCAATGGACCAGTTTATATTATATAGGCATTTTAAATATTACCCTTGACAATGGACAAAATGTGAAATTATGATCTGCCTATGTTATAGTTAACAACTTGATACTCAAAAAGAAGCAATATCTGTCTTCTTTAAACTTGACAATGGCATATGCAAATACACACAGAGCTTACTATCAATCCTAAATATATTTTTTTAAATGTATTAATATCCTTCCTCACAGTCCGCTACATGTTTTAGCACCACCAGATGCACCAGATGTTTAGCTCGAATTTATATCATTTAGAGAATCACTAAGAATAGCAGTGTTTCTATACAGTAGCAGCTCACTGGATGTTTATAAGTGGTGACAGGTTGTGTGAGGGGGCGTCTTCAAATGACTCATTTGTCATTTTACTTCAAGGCTTGTTTTGGACACCATCCAAGCGCAAGGGACAGGAGCACACTGGCTGGATCATAGTGTTGTTTATGAGTACATTTGTTCAGACCAACATCTTCTTTCAAATGATTATCTTTAAAAGTATAGACATGTTTTTATGTAACTTTCTGTTTTGTTTGTTTTCTTGTCAGTTAAACCTATGCATTTTAGTAGTTAATGATTAGATTTCAAGATTTTCTTTGAAAATGGACAGTAATACATAAGTCAGAGCTGGTTTATCAGAATCTATTAGGCATTCAAACCAGCTCATGCAAATTTAGCTTGAATAATAGAGGATTTCCAAAATACAGTTCCACAAAGAGTGTCTGCGGTTTTAGAAAATTAAATGTGCCTGTTAGCCTGTTTATTGTGGAAATGACTGTGAAAGGAAACAACAACAGAGTCTCTATGGGAATCTATTCTATTCTTCTAGAGGGTTTTTATTTTGTTTTGTTTAAACCTATTCAGGTGTGATTCTGATAATGTGGGTCAGAAAACAAAAGGTTAGGAAGAATGAAATATAGTTTTAGTATTCAGTATAATGTGAAGTCTTAATATTCATTTAGGATAATAAATTTAAAAGAAACACATCTTATCTATGTGCATAATTATAGTAATCCCCTGTATGTTGCCTCAATTCCATCCAAAGGATGTTTATAACTTCCTATTACTGTGGAAACAGCCTCCTTCATAAAGTTATGTGGTGTTGTTTTAAAGCAAGTTTACTATTTTCAAACCTAATCTATTAGTCTAAAATTGCTGACTCATTATGCTGAGCTAAATTAAGGTATCACATGAACACCAACTTTACCTGTGTGTTTGTTGTGTTACTTTGTTTTGCTCCTGACTTTGATTTATGTTCATAATAAGTGGATTCTAACTAATTAGCCCACCACAGTATCGCATATAACCTAATATTTCCATCATCACAGTGCACAGTCTTGCTTGCGTAGTACACCAAAACCCACTCACTCTTAATAATTGATCAGACAGAATCAACATCTAGATTTGCATTTGGAAAGTGCTTTTACAAACATTTCTGTGATCTTCGATGCAGGCAGGCGTGTTTTTTCCTCCCAAGTGTTGTCCACCAAATTGAATTAGCCCAGGGCATGTATATAGTAAGGCCTTGGATTAGTGCGCCTTCATTTTGACTGGCTCAGACCATTAGTCCTACACAGCTGCTGGCCGTTTTACAGCCTCATCAGTTACTGTAATGAGTAAATGACGAGAAACACAAAGACAGATACTTGTGCTAAAAGAAAGAGCCTATATTACAATTTTCTTGATCTGTTATAATGTTGTTTCTTCATCAAAAACATATCTGGAGTTGTGTTTTGTTTCATTCGCACATGTTTAACACACAAACTCTACATTTTTGGGCTGAGTTCTTCTCTCAAGTGGAAAACCCTACCTTGTCATGTCATGTGGTATTACAGTCATGTCATGTGGTATTAAGTGCTCCACTGCATTTTTAAAATCTATATACCTTCTCTAAAATCATTGATTTCAGCCCTGAAATTGCCAGTCTGTACTGAAAAAAGGTAAAAGCTAGCTGTTAACTTGAAAACCAACGCTTCATGACATCACAAGGTGGAACAGAGCGTTTTGAGCTTTGGAGACTAATAATAAAGGGTTACTCAAACATGTGTGAATGAAACAAAATACAGCTCCAGATATCTTCCAGATATCTTTTTAAGGAGGTAAGAATGTCAAAACATGGCTTAAATCACAAGAGTCATTTTTGTAGAAAACAGGACCTTTAAATGCGTAGGGAATATATCTCCTGTCAAATGGTTTCTTTTATAGATGACTACTTGTGTGCAACTCCCCTAATGGATTTGTGTGCGAGTCTGCCCATGCCCGTGTGACAGTTTGTCTCCCTCCTACAGACCGCATACATCACACTATTGGAAGACACCTGTGGCGGCTGGAAGGAGAGCAATCTGTTCTCCCTGTTACGCCGTCAAACGCTAGTCATTAAACATTGGCGCCACATGAATTTTCCCCTCTCGGCGAAATTCATCGTTGCAATAAAACTAGATGTAAGACTAAAAAAAAGCTAGAGCTATTCACTGTGATGCATTAGGTTAGCTTGCATGGTGCTAATGATTTTTAAAAGGGCTATGTGATGCAGCAAACCAGCAGGATTTAGACTGTCACACATAGCAGGCGCTTTGTCTGGGAGTTTGAGAGCAGAAATGTTAAAGATGCATTTTGTAACTTTTCTGGAGAGGGTCCACAACCTGTGTGTCTCCATTAATGCTTTGGTTCAAATTGTTCACAGTATGGTATTAAACTAATCTGTCTTGCATCCATTCCACTACTGGCATTATGTATTGCTCAAAATTATCTTACAAACATCCACTCTTACTCTGTGAAGTCAAAGTGGAGTCGCTTCTCTACAAATCTAACCTATAATGTAGGCTTGCAAGTTTCCATGGAGATTCTTAAGCTTATGGCCATACTGTGGAGCATTGTAACCATATCTCCATGGAGACAAGCAGGTGACAGACCCTCCACCAGACAAGTTACACAGTGCACCTTTTAAAAAGGACAAAAACGTGTGAGAAAAGGAACAAATGGTGTCTTTTGAAAAAAAAATGCTGATGTTTTACAATGAGTGCAAGTCTGTATTTTATGCAGGGGGCAAAAACTGTAAAAAAGAGAGATTGCGCTAGTGCTTGGCATTGTAAAAAATAAAGTGACGGCTCCCCAGTAGAAAGTGTAATTGAATAAGAAGGGCAGCACTTGTCACAAAGCACTACAACTTGCAGCTGTGGTACAAGCTGTAATTGGATTTGGGTCATTCCTAATATGAGTGGAATATTTTCAGCATCATAAGAGACAAGACCTAGACTAGAGACTTGTATTGATGAAATAAGTCAGCAGTCCTCCACTCTGTAATCTCTTCAGTCATAATCACAGTTGTAATAAAGGTGACCCTCCAGTTTGATCACACACACCACACATAAGCTGCTGTTACTAAACCAACTCTCAACAAAAATATATACTTTTTGATTTTTGGTGTTAATATTTTTCACATCATTATTGAATAGTCTTGGTTGTTGTTCCTGTCTATGTTTATTAAAGGTGAATGATGCATCTCCTCTGGTGGTTGCAGGTATGCAGGTTGGCATCTGCTTGAATTTTTACTTTGTTTGGCATGTTTCACAGTATGACATTGTCTTTCATTTATTCAGTATCAGGTGTTTTTATTGCCAAGAAATACTTTGAGGAACATTCATCCACTGGTCTGACCTGTAATTTGGCATCAACTGCCTGTCACCATGGAGATTACTAAGTTTAATGACAGTACTTTGGCACATTCCAGGCAAAGCAGTGCCATCTCCATGGAAACAAGCAGGTGGCGGGCCCTCAACTAGAAGTAGTATATACTTCACCTTTAACTTGAAAATCCCTTTTTTCATTAGAATGTTCATGGCAGCAGCTGAACTCACTGCAGGTTTTTTTTTTCACCTCTAACAAAAAAATCATCTTAACTCCACGCTAGAACATAATACTTATGTTTGTGTGTGTTTTTGCTTTCTAGGAATCTGGGAAAGTCTGGCTTGCGAGTCTCTTGTCTGGGCCTTGGTAAGTACATTTCAAACATTAAACATTAAAGGAAAACGATTAGCTTTAGCATCTGTGTGTGTGTGAAAGAGGTTATATAGCAGAAGGAAATGGTGCTGTTTCATAATATTAAATCTCCTCACTCTAAAGCTCATACATCTTTTATGGATACGAAAGTCCCATGCTGCAACACAAAGCTGTTTGCACACTGTTAATATCGACATGTAAATATTTAAAAAGCAGCTTGGGTCTTAGCTAACAAGTCTCTCTGTTATTGCCAGTGTGCACAGGAGGATAAACACCATCATTCATCCTGATGGATCTCATTCATACACTAAATCTCTTAAGTGCCCCACTTTATCTGCTTCGTAACTTGGCAAAGCAAATATGTGACGCAGCCCAGTGATCATTATTTAGGATTTTAGCTAGTACACAAGAAATGAGCAGTAAGAATTAATGCACTTCTGCAAGGTAACAGAGGACTGACGCCTTTGAGCAAATTTTATCCCAATAGGTTGAATTAATGTGACATCTCGACAATATTTTTCAAAGCTGTTCTCTAATTACTTTAAATGATAAATCACAAAAAAACATTTGGACATTTTTTTCACCACACACCATTTGTGTTTAAAGGAAATAAACAATATTTTCAGTCTCATTTTCAGTCTCTGCACCGGTATCAGTTGATATTGCTCATCAGCAGATACTTTAAGTTATAGTATTGGCATTAGTATCTCAACAGAAAAAGCCAAATAAGTGCATCCCAGAAAGTGTTGCCATTATTCAACCCCAATGATGTGATTCTTCTCTGTTGAAAGAACTTTAAGCCATCAGATCAACTGACTGATTAAAAATAATGATAAGGTTCAATATTTGTAGATGATAAGTTTAGGTAGGGAATCTCCTATAGAGTTACACAGGCCCCTACCCTCCATCTGAAATTGTGACATTAAATCCTTGAATGTGAACCCAACCTATACTAATGCTAAGCAAAGGCTCCCAAAGATATTAAAAACATTTAAATATAGCATTTATATATAATGTTTTATTGGCTTTCCCAGTTGTGAAAAATGACATAGAACCTCAGCAGATTTATTGCTAGCTCTTGCATTATTTGGTATTAGGGCAGGATAACTATAAGCGCCTCATTGCAGGATCATGAGCAGAGAAAAGATGGGCTGGAAATTGTAAATAAAAGCCATTTGAAATGACATTATACCATTGTGACTTAACTATAGGAGCACCCTGCATGACCTCAAGCTAATTTGGACCTTTGCAACCAACATAGGTGTTTATGATGGCCCATAATAAACACTGGTGATAATAATGGTGCCTGCTTTAACCTTTGACAGTAGAATCCACTTGAGCTAAGCTAGGAATAATAAAGCAAGGTACATTCTGACGAGGCACAAATGAAGATAAATGCATTCTTACCAGCACAGCAAGGCATAGGGGAAAACTCATTTGTATGGTGTTATATTGTATTCTGTATAAGCCGACAGAAGGGCCATTGTTTTACTGGGGCCATTAAAATGTCTTCAGGAATCTAGGTATACAATCAAAATTCATATTTGCAACTGGGTAACAGAAAATAACACATCTGGTAGATTTAAGAAGAGCAGATAGGGATTTGATTTTGCTAAAAGAAACCATACTGTTTTATAAAAGTGCAGCTTTTCAGGACTACAGAAATTATGCACCATCACTTTTTTAATGACAGGTTTGTCATCTGTTTTTTCTATATGTAAATGTTACTGTTTGCCTAGAATGTTCCGTAGAATGCCATTAAACATAATCTATCTACATGGAAATAATTACAAGAATACATATTTTCAAAGTATATATATTTTAGCTATAAATCATCTGTATGTGAGTAAATGCCAGACAGTATGGCAAGACATGCCAGACTGTGGAACATTTCAGGCAACGCAATAACATCATCAAGCAGGTGTCAGATCCTCCTACCAGAAAAGTTACTTAGTGCAACTTTAACAAAGGTGTTATGATTACATTTATAACATTATGACTTAAAAGACCTGGCAGACCCAAGTGTATCTTGAGGGTCCGCTGGGAACATATGGCAGAGCCCTCTGTCAGGAGGACCTTCAACTCACACCTCTGGGAGAGCGTCTCCCAGATCCTGGGGGAGGCTAGGGACATGGAGTCCATGGGGCCTATGTTCTCGACCTCTATTGTCGATGTGGTTGCTTGTAGCTGTAGTCGTAAGGTATGTGGTGCCTGTCATGGTGGCAATCCCCGAACTTGGTGGTGGATGCCAAAAGTAATGGATGCCGTCAGGCTGAAGAAGGAGTTTTATCGAGCTGTTGGCTCGTTGGACTCCTGAGGCAGTTGATGGGTACAGATAGGCCAAACGTGCTGCAGCCCATACTGTCACAGAGGCAAAAACTTGATGTTGGAAGGAGTTTGGGGAATCCATGGAGGATTTGGGCAGCCTCAAATAAATTCTGGCAAACTGTTCGACGCCTCAGGACTTTTTACAATGCAGGTGGAGAGCTGAAGACCTTGACTGGGGATGTTGTCGGACGGTAGAAGGGATACGTTGAGGATCTCTTCAATCTCACCATCAGATCTTTCGAAGAGGAAGCAGGGGTCAGGAACTTGGGGGCAGATTCATCTATCACCTTGGCTGAAGTCTCAGTCTGAACAACTGAGGTGGTTGGCAAGCTCCTCAGTAGAAAGGCTCTGGGGGTGGGTGAGATCTGTCTTGAGTATCTTAAGTCTCTGGATGTTGTGGGGCTGTCTTTGGTGACACGTCTCTGCAACACTGTGTGGCAGTTGAGGACAGTACCTCTGGACTGGCAGACTGGTGGTTCCTCTGTTTAAGAAGGGGTATGTTTCAACTACAAGGGAATCACACTCCTCAGTCTCCGCAATAAGGTCTATTCCAGGGCTGGAGAGGAGAATCTGACTGATACTTGAACCTCGGATTCAGGAGGAGCAGTGTGTTTTTCATCCTGGTTGCGAAACACTGGACTAGCTCTACACCCTCCATCATGTGCTCGAGGGTAAAATTTTTTTTCATATTCATCAATCTCAGTTTTCAATCTTATTTTATTTCGTTAAACAAAATAAAAACATCCCTTTGTATTGTTTATGTTCAGAAAATCAGTAGTACGTGTTCTTCTAATCTATGCCATATAACACAAAAAATACTATACCTAACTATAAATAACAATTTTTTCCCTACAGAGTTTGAACTGTGCTCCAAACTAAATGCTTTTACTGACAGAGGATTGACTGAACACCACTGGATTCCAAAACCCCAACCATATCATTGACATGACTGTTTCACAGTCTTTTGATTAATTGCCCAGGTCTGCTGGTAAAGATGTTGAATTAAAACTATGATGTATCAAACAACACATGACAAGTCAAAAAAAGTACAACAGCTGCTGATTAGCCACCAGTCATAAAACTAATCCGACAGTCAGTCTCTTCTAATTGTTTCCATCAAAGCTCAGTCTTGACATTAGCCTGTGGTTGTACTGAGACATGGGTGGGGGAGGGGGAGATTCTTGTCCTAAAATGTCACAGTAATAATTAATTCATGACTAATGTCTTTGTCGATGTTTGAAATGCAGAAGGCGGCGTGCTTTTGTTTGTTCCAAAAAGTGAATTTATGTGATTTGATTTTTCCGACAGGCACTTGGGTAACATTCGGAGGTCAGATCACTGATGAGGTAAGGCATCAAATCCTTCAGCATGTCACGGCTCATAAGCAGACCCGAACTTTGAGAATAGTAGACATCCATTACACAGCTCCCATGGGTGAGAGTTGGTAAAAAAAAAAAAAACATTTAAGGCCGTAAACATCTTTATGACATCAACATCCTTGTATGATTGCTGGGTCCCTGTTGGGTTTGTCCAAGGTCTACAGGACAAGTCATATCCACCAATTATTAAGAAGTAATGCAGCCTTGGAAATGGGGGGATCTCTGCCCTCGTAGAGGTTTATGAGCCTGGCAGCAGCTGAGGCTTACATCGGTACAACAAGACCTGGGTTTTTCAGGGATTTCAGCTTCCTGGTGTATGCAACATTTTGACTTTTTGCCCATGCAGAAGATATAAGATTTAATTTTAACGGGGCAATTATCATGGCAACGGTTATAGTTTCTCATCACTTTGAAAACCTATTGCTGGTACAAGATGTAGATAGAAATAAACCCAGAAAATTTACTCAGCTGTAAAGCAAACATAAACTTATATTTTCCCTTTTTCAGTTGACTGTGGTAATTCTTTATGATGTAATCTCATATTTACAGTTTATTGAAAGTGAATTTCATTTTTGAGTACAATACACGGAAGTTACAGATCACACACTTATTTGTCAATGTTAACTTTTAAGAGCTTTTAAATGTTTGTGTAATGGTTCTCTATAATCATTGGATTATTTATTTAGACTTGAACTGTAAAATGAAGATCAACATATTGTTTATTACTAAATATGGAGGGTTAAAAAGCACAAATTGTACTTTTGACATTTAAAAAAATTCTAAATGAGCTACGGTATTAGGGTAAGTAATAGTGTAATATAATGATATGCATTGAGTAGTGAAGGGATAATAACAGTAATACTTGAATTATAATCTGTATTTTTTCTAATGAACATACGTAGAATAATTTCAATTCATGACTGGGCACTGCTTCACTTTTGCCTTTTGTCATGTCAGGTGGCAGAACAGCTGATGACTATCGCCTATGAGAGCGGGGTTAACCTGTTTGACACAGCGGAGGTCTACTCTGGGGGGAAGTAAGTCATGCCTCTGCAGATTGTTTACAGTGACGGACTCCCCTCCTCTTATCAGTTCCTTTTACCTCGTAGGGCACAAGGTGGTAACAAGGTGCAGACCACAAATTATTCATGTCAAGAAGTTTAAAACAGGCTGGCCGTGACTTGAAAGCAATTTACATAATTGTATTCATCGCTAGAGGCTTCCCATTATGTTCACAGAGCTCCATCTTAACCTATCAGGCCAGACATTGTCACCTAGATAATGCTAGGACAATGTAGTCGTATGGACATGAATATTAATCAGAAGATTGCTAGAGCACACACAGCAGACAGTTTGAATGAGGTATTACATCCCGTAACAGTGGTATATAAACTGTAGATGACAGATAACAGCCCTGTACAAGTCACACATCTAATCTTATCATCTTCTTTTCTCCTCACAGAGCAGAGATAATTCTAGGAAACATCATCAAGAAAAAGTGCTGGAGGTAAAGTCCGCCCTCTAAAGATTGAAATTAGGCCAGCATAAGAGTTTGTAGAAAGACAGCTTAAATAAGAAGTAACATGTAGGAATATAACTGTTAATTTTGGATAGTATTGACTAAATTTTTTGTTTTTGTTTAAATTCTATGAGTTATAATTATTTAAAGGCCCCATATTACACGAAATTGACTCTTGTGAGCTTTAAGTCATGTTAGAATGTTGTTACCTGATCAAAATCATATGTTGGAGTAATCCCTCATTATTAAGTCTACCTACATCTCCAGTGCTCAAAATGTTCTGTTCTAACTTGTGATGTCATGAAGTGTTACTTTTAAGATTAACGGTTAACTTTTACCTCTTGTTCAGTAGAGACTTGCAATTCTGGCAAGATTTGAAATTATCCAAATAATTCAAGGTGTGTGGAGATTAAAAACACAGTGGAGCATTTCCTGTATTACCAAATGACATCACAAGGTGGAACAGAGTGTTTTCTGTTGGAGGGAAGCACTCAGCCTAAAACTTAAACATGTGTGAATGAAACAAAACAACTCCAGGTATGTTTTTGAAATACAATAATAACACAGATCCGAAACTAATATGGTCCTTTTAATATTGCCTAATACCTATGGTTTTAATAGAGCTACAGTTCTTGTACATTTCTCAACACACATATGCACTAGCTGTTAACAAGCTGCTTGGTTAAAAAGAATGTGGGATGTAAAACATCAGATATATTTGAGCTTGCACAGTCTCCGATCAATATTTGGATGAGCCTATATACATTATTTACCATGCACATGCAATCTCAATGTAGCTGCTTTTGGCTGGCATCACTGGCATGTTTAACAAGATAATGACTTATAATAAGCATGCTGTTGCATGAGTGAATGGCATATTAGCTAAGTCCAAACGATGATAGGATTTGAAATGTGTGCAATGCAAAAGCTAAAAGTATAAGTTATGGCAGGAACTCAGGAAACAACTCAAACTTTACAACTTCAATAGAAAAATCCTAGTGTAACTTTGTATAAATAATTCTTATAGTGTCTGGTTTGACACGAGCCGACATTGCACTGGTTAGTTATGTGTAACGCCCTTTCAGCCCCCTCTGAAAAGCCCTCCAACAGACTTCATCTCAATGCTGGGCGGTCTTGCAATATTAATAAGTTGAGCAAGAGATATTGTAGTACATATATTTACGATTTTACACTCCAGCAAGGGAACTATGGTAGTTTTAATTTTCAAAGCATAACAATGCATACACCTTTTCATCATTTGGAAAATTTCAGACCAGGAATTGCCAATCTCTACTGAACTAAAGGTAAAAGTTAGTCTTTAACTTGAAAACTACCACTCCATGATATCACAAGATGGAACAGAGCATTTTGAGCTTTAGAAATATAGCTGAGCTAATAATAAAGGACTGTTCAAACACAGCGTCAGATATGTTTTTACTGGGGCAACAACATTATAACATGACTTAAAGCTCACAAGAGTAAATTTTGCGTAAAACAGGACCTTTAAATCTGACGTTATTCCCTTCAGTCTTTTGATCTCTGCCTCTCTGTCCTTTAGGAGGTCCAGTCTGGTCATCACCACAAAGCTCTACTGGGGAGGAAAGTGAGTGTGTCTCTGACATTTTCTGGCCATAGATGTTTTGAGTCCCCGAGGAAAAGACAACACATGAAAAACAGTGCTATAGGATTGAGTGGTCCATATAGGCACACACTTGACAGTACATGTGCACTCAGTTCTTACCTCTCTCTTCTTCTTTTCTTTTTCTTCTGGGTTTGTTTGCCATGCTGGGATCTTCTATACACCATCTGCATCAGTTACATTTTCATCTGTTCACAAAAAGCTCTGTGCTCTCAGTGAGATAAGGAAACTCATGGTCAGAGTGGGGCCGAGGAGTAATACAGTCATAGCTTTATGTTGGGAGTACATTTTGGTTGAAGTCAGTTAATCTCCTCTGACTCATTGTTTAATTAGTTTAATTAGTTTTGTTCAGAATTCAGAGAGCATAGTTACTGTTAATTTTGTTAAATGCCACATTTTTATATTTTTGGCAGTAAAGTGCAAAATAAAGTCTGTTCATTTGCTTCATAGACTGTATATATGGACATAGCTAACCCACTAGTCGCTGCATTCCAAATAATGCGGCGCTTTCAGCTCAATTGACTTTGGTTCAATTCACTCTGTATTGAGAAAACGTCACCCCTCTCGCTGTAACTGCTGCTGTCAGGCTCCTCATTTTGGTCTTAAAAAGTTCATATTAACCTGCCCTACATGATCTTTGTGTTTTTATTTCAGTATTTTATCTGTAAATCAACTCCTATCCTATATGGAACTGACTCCAAATTTGCCCCTCTATCTGCTAGCCTCTATGCTATGGGTCTTTGATTTACATATTATTTAAATAATCAATACATCAGTTACTGTAAACTTTTGCTGTAGGACTTGAAGGCACTTGCCATAACACTTGGTGCAAGTGGTGCTTTTGAGGAACTGTCCTCTGTATAACTTTTGTCAAATTGTATGTGTGATCTCTTTAAGATTGTTGACAATGCTGAAATCAGCAAAGCATTACTTCCATATCGCAGCAGCCTCCTTGGCAGACGGGCTGAGAAAAAAACCCATGCTGTGTAAGATGCAACGGAGCTTAAAAACTTTCTCAAGCATATAATCACTTTTACATAGTCATTTTTGCCACACTGTGAACAACACAAAGCAACAGTTTGGTAATACAAACAGAAAGGCCATAAAACAACAAAACAGGCAAAGCTTGAGTTAAAAAATAAATGAGAAAAATAAAAGAAACTTGAAATATCAGCTAATCACTGTTGAATCACCCATGTGAGCTGTTAATTAGATGTGCAAATGTGTATTAAGATTTCTTATATAATAACACTACTACTACTACTACTACTACTACTAATAATAATAATAATACATTCAGCCGATGTCCCCAAAACCACTGTTCCGTGTGACTTGTCAACACGGGAGTGAGATAAAATACTGGCCACTGCTGTATCGCTGCGGGCACACTGCGGACGGCCGCTTGAGTGGGTGTATTTCTCTTCACTCGTTTGTAACTACTTTGTTATGCAGGCTCTGGTTTGGCATGTTTAATGATTCAGTTCACACAGCCTCGGCGTGTTGGTCTGTGCTGCTGCTCTGTTGCTTGTGTGCTTTGTTTGTGAGATCACCCTTGACACGCGTTTTCTGTCTCGTGTTGCAGAGCAGAAACCGAGAGGGGGCTCAACCGAAAACACATCATTGAAGGTAAAAAAGTCGATTTTGTACCAGTGTTCCATATCCCTCCCCTCACCTCACTGCCCTTCTGAAACTGTCCTCTTTTTATCCACTTTGCATCATTTTGCACAAAACAAAACACACTGAAATTAAATACAAAAACAAATATCTCTACATAATGGTGCTAGTACAAGTAAACATTTAACAAAGCTTAGTTGAATTTTATCAATAGTTTAGCCAGTATCTCAGATCGATGAGAAATGCCTCCTTAAAGCGCTATTGTCCACTTAATGTGACATTATGACAACCAATTATGCTAGATAATTTTATGCATATTATCAGATGTTCCCCCCTCTCCTTTACAAAGTGTTTCTTCAAACCACCTTTTTTCTTGATTTGGTTATTTTAATTATTTGTGTGACTTATTTATTGATGTATAAAAGCCAGCTCCAGCTGCAAACCAATTCTACCTGTGGCTTCACGTATAAATAATGTTCTGAAAGCTGCAAACAGCGAGCACATTTTCAAGGCTATACATTCTGCACAAGGAGATGGATCCCTTCTGGATACTGCTGTCCTGATCCCGCCTGTTCCCCAAGTCTCAGGTCCACACAGCGCAATGCACCTCCTGCAGTGACTCAGCTCTCTCACACCATATTAACATTCACTGCAGCCGCTGCTATTTTCCCCCAAACAAGAGTCGCTGAATAAACTTAGCCAATGCTGGAGGAGGGGGACACCGGACAGGAGAGATAAACCAAGATGAGCGGAGGAGGATAATGGCACTGAAAGATAGCAGCACCAATTAGCTTTATGCAGTGTGTCCAGTGGCCACAGGCTGGAGGTGACCTGTCCTTGTGGTGGCAGGCTGGTGTTATGAATTAGGCCCACACATAACAAAGGGCTTTCAAGGGCTCCTCCTGACTATGATAGGGTTTCAAGATGTCAAAGTCAATAATAAACCAGAAGCAGAAGACTCAAAATCTTAACATTCAGTTATTGTGAAGTGTGACTATTGTGCTGTTGTACATTACCACTCTGCATTAGATTAAGAAGGCAGAGATGCTCTGCAGCAGGTTAGAGCTAATTATTCTGAATTTGGATCAAACACATAACTTTTAATTGAGGCAAAAATATCTTTTCCAGGAATAACATAAGGAAAAGAAAGTTTGAAAAATTTCCCCTTTGTTAAACCGAAAACACAAAATTTACTGATTGACTTGTCTTTCCCAGTGAGCCTGTTCTGTTGCTATTAATTGCATAATTAATGTCGGAGGCTTGTTAAAAAGCTTGGCTGTCTTGTTGTTTTAAGAGGGAGAATCTTAAGTTATTCACTGACTGGCTAGACAACTGAAACACCATGACAGTCTCAATGAAAGCATGTCTGCTTTGGTGTTTCTGGGTTGACAGAAGAAGTAAAGAGAGGCATTGATGATTGTGGGACGTGTGCAACACTCATCTAGGATTAGCTCGATGATGAAGCCCTTGGCTCTAATCTGTTACGCTCACTCACATGCACCGAACAGAGCATTTCTTTCCTAGTGTTTGCATTACCAGTACTTCTCTACAAGTCACTGGGGACTTGCATCCTCGCATTACTCCAGTTGGCATCCTTTATTCCAACATACAGCTTAGCGATATATAAGAAAATAGAGTGGCCTTTTCCTGATCCTCTTAGCTTTTTAGAGGCTTGGCTCCCTCCTCAGGCATAAACCAACAGCAGTCATTTATGTAACAAAAGATATTAGCTCACGCACAGGTGCACAGCTTTTCACAATGATCTACTTAGCAGCACATGGAGGTGTGAAATTGGTCTAAATGCTCTGACAACTCTCTACTTTGCTCATTCAGCTCCAGTTTCAGAGTCCACACTTGAGTTTCTCAGGCTTAGCTGTAACAGAGACACAGTCAATCAAAGTGTGAAAAGAAATACATTATTAAGACCACCTACAACTGTGCTCCTCCACCAGAAAGGGACGTGCATACTAAGAATTTTGTCTTTTTTCTTTTTTGTCACTGCAGTATAGCATGTACTGTTATTAAATAGTAAATAGTGAGTACAAGCAAACATGAAAGAATACAACTTATATTGCATCAGCCTAGTCATAGTGCATTAACCTTTACTGAAATGGGGAATATGTTTTTGTTTATATAGTTTTTGTCTTTAAAAAGCTCCACTATAAAAAAATACTACTTTTGTTTTCAGTATGCTGTTAATTTTTTTTTACAAATATCTAACAAGAATGAAACCACAGCTGTTATACCAGATTCTGCTACTTTGCAACTGCAAATTTTAATGACATATCAGCCTATGACCTAATTCTAAAATCCTAAATCTAGTTGCTTGATATATCGATTTCGTCTTTAATATACAATGTCCAATCCGTGTGTACAGTATTTCTTTTGCTTATAAGAGGAAGGTTGTCAAGGGTCAAAGGTTTTTATAGAACCGTAATAGACAACTTGCAGAATTGCAGTGAAACAGCAATGTGACTCATTGGTCAGCATGTCTTAACTAAATTCACTAAAGTTTACTGACACATTCTTAAATTGTGGCAGACCCGATGCAGCTGCAGGCCTTGAGTCACATGTGGTCAACTGTCAGTTTGCCATGTTTACCAAAATGTCGTCTAAAACCCCCTCCGGACCCAGCTCATCCTGTTTTCCCTCCACCTGACGCACAGTTTTGTTTATAAATATGTGTTCTGTATGTTCTTATATTACGCAATTATCTGATCTTGTTCTGATGTTATAATGTTGTATCCTCATCAAAAACACTGAGTTTTGCAGTTGTGTTTTGTTTCATTTATGCATGTTTAACACACAAACCCTACATATTAAGCCAGAGTTCTTCTTTCAAATGGAAAACACTCCACCTTGTGATGATGTAATGTGGCAATACAAGAAGAGCTCCACTGTGTTTTTAAACTCCAAACACCTTCACTCGAACCATTTAGATAATTTCTCTCTGAACTTAAGGTTAAAAGACCCTGTTAGCTTGAAAACTACTGCTTCATGACATCACAAGGTGGAACAGAGTATTTTGAGATTTGGAGGTGTAGACAGACTAATAATAAAGAGTTACTCATACGTGTGTGAATGAAACAGAACACAACTCCAGGTATATTTTTGTTCAGGTAACAGCATTAGGACATGGCTAAAAGCTCACAAGAGTGAATTTTGTGCAATATAGGACCTTTAACAACTCAAGACTACAGACCTGATAGCCCTCCTTGTATCTTGTCTCTTCCTTGTGTGACCTACATATCTCTCCTTATCTGTGTCCAGGCTTAAAGGGCTCTCTCCAGAGAATGCAACTTGAATATGTTGATGTGGTTTTTGCCAACCGCCCGGACAACAACACGCCGATGGAGGGTGAGTGATCATGGGGCTTCCATGGAGAGCTGTGGAAGGGTTGAGGCTGGGTCATGCGGTAACCTGATAAGGTGACAAATATGACCAGAACGTATGCTTTTTCTGGACTAGTGACCCCTAGACCTTAACATAAATTTACAAATCATCTTTAAAACACACACACTTAATCTCTCAAACTCTATTTTCACTCTCCACTTTTTTCAGCCCGTCTCTGTGGGATTTTGAGTGTCTGCATGGGCTCTGAGATGCCTCCCCCTCCTGCTCATCAGAAGGAGGATTATCTGCCCCCCTAAGGATAGACGGTGTATTTTTGGGCTGGTCTCAGTAGATACAAGGCCCGCTGTGCTCACTATAACTTCAGCACAATTCCTGTACGTCTTTTCCAGGTTTCTTGTTGGCAGTAGCCCCTCATCTAAAGGTGCTAAAAGAGTCCCACTGGGCTCTGTAGAAGTGTTCCCAGTCCTTGCGTTTTGCCCCCCGTGCTCTCGGCTTGTGTAGTGAAGGCAGCAGACGGCAGGAGGCCAATCTGTCACACTTTACACTTCCTGGGGCTGTGCTGTCGCTGTATCACGGGTGACTGATAGACAGACCCTGAGTCTAGCCCCGAAGACACATGTCTCTCCTTATTGAGTCATCCTCGTTGACAGCGAATGTCACTAAAGTAATCCAAATAGTGGACTGACTTGATTGGGACCCACATGCAACATAGTGTAGGGGATTGGTTATCTGGGAAAAAAATGATCATTATTTAAGCACTAGTTAAATCCTTGCCAGACAAATGCCAAATGATATCTCTGTATTTTTATACAGATTGATATCTCTGTATTTAAAATGAAATGAACAAACTCATTGTTCACCTGTGATTTACAAATACTGATTCTGCAGAAGGCCACAATGTTTTTCAGCCCCTGTGATATTTCCTTTTTTTTTTTTTCCCAATATGTGTACAGGTTGTTGAATTCACCAGTCAATCATGTTCATTTGACAACAGGGACAGACATCTTCATAAAGTATTGAAGAAGTGTGTATTCTGGGTCCCTGGCAAGTAAATCCACCTGTCACACACACTGTGCGAATCGGGAGAAGTAGACGTTTTTCATCAGAGGGTTTAAAAGAATTTGATTAACAATTATAAACTTTTTGGGGGGAGATGTTTAGGATTTCAAAACTCTATATCTTATGAAGCTACTTTTTTGGTCTTGTCATAGAAGACATATTGTAGCAAAGTTGTTTGTTGTTTGAACATCACAGCATTTGACTTGCGCGAGATGAGACACAAAATTTTGAAGTTTACAAAGTATGACTTCTTTATGCATAATATACCACACAAACAAATGATTTGTCGTTATTATGATCTAGATTTTCATGATTGGTGTGATACAGTGTGCGTATGCATAATGTTGGTAGCGCTCTGTATTCCTTAACTTTCTCTGACTTTGACAGAAGAAGTTGAAGTTATTTAGATTGTGTAACTTGTGCCTCCTTGGGAACAAAAAGTCATTGCCAGCAAGTCTGTCTTTGTTACCATCAGGCCTGTATTCTGCTGTCTACACATCCCTCACTGGCTATTACTATCCTCCACTTGACTTTGGCTTCTGCTTTTTTTGGCCTGCATCCAGGAAACAGCAAGGACAGGCCCTACTTGTGCCACTAATAAAAAACACAGCTCACTCCATTCCTTGGCAGTATGTCAGTGTTTCATTTCACGTAACACTTTTGCTGATGACACCGGTCTGTATGGACACTATGCTCTCAGGGATTAAAAGCAAAGTGGTCACTCACTCAAGAAATGTTTAATTCTCCATATACACATCTCAAATACACAGGGAAGGTGCCTGGAACAGAATGAACTAAGGACCAACCATCTGTGCCACAATCCATCCATTGTGATAATAGGCTTTGCCCATGGTGGTCATGTCCAAGTCTTTCCACAGATATGCTAGCCACTCAGAATCATTTTTATTTGACAGCGCAACACGCAGAAAATTGAATCCAGTCAATCAAGCAAATATGGAAACACCCCAGACAGACTGAAGAGGGAAATACAGAGACACAAACAGCCATCTACACTAATAAATAGACTTTACACTTTTGGTTGCAGGTATGTAGACTTATAAAATAGTCATCTGTAGAGCACTAAACACTCAACTTCATGTGGGAGTATATTAATTTAAGTGAAAGAATGTCTTGTTACCATAGGGTTTTATTAATAAAATACAGCATATGCATTTGTAATAAACGCAGATATTTAGGACGCTCTCAGCAAAAACATATTACAGGCAAATATACAGTCTGCTTATGTTTATAAAGTAAGTGCAAATTTGAACTTTTGCATAAGAGCCATTACTTCAAATCTCAACGGGTAACTTCATCTACTCCAGGCATATGAATCTGAAAACTGTTTTGGTAGTTTTGACACAAAAAGTGTAATTAAGGGCAATTCTGTTCCTGCTAATTAAGTTATTTTTACCTCTCCAAAATGTATAAGCCATATAAATGTATAATGTATAATGTCTTTCCTTCTATTAAAGGCCCTCTGTTAGGCAAAATTGACCCTTGTGAGCTTTTAGCCATGTCAGAATCTTGTTACCTCCTCAAAACATATCTGGAGTTGTGTTGCGTTTTAGTCACACATGTTCAAGTAACCCTTTATTAGTCTGTCTCCATCTCAAAGACTCAGAATGGCCTGTTCCACACTGATATCATAAAGTGGTAGTTTTCAAGTTAACAGCTACCTTTTGTTGAGTAGAGATGGGGAATTTTAAAGCATAACTTGTCAAAATGATTAAAGTGAAAGTGTATGGAGTTTTAAAACACAGTGGAGTACTTCCTGTATTACCAATTGATAGCACAAGGTGGGGCAGAGTGTTTTCTATCAGAGAAGAACTCAGCCTAAATATGCAGGATCTGTGTGATAAACTTGTGTGAATGAAACAAAACATAACTCTGGGTATGTTTTGATCAGGAAAGAACATTATAACATCAGCCATAACGTAACATGTATCCCCTACACCACAGACTTTTGTGGTAAGGTTGTTGGGCATCCTTCTGATTCCATGTTACATTCTTGGACCTTTGTCAACAAAGCAAGTTACTCACTACATCATAAAAACATATTAAGACCTAACCAGTAGCTACCTGCACAGAATACTATGAATCAAGTTCTCAACCCTTCCTCGTAGCATCAAAAGGCTAATTCATGCGTGTAGTTTCAGTGTCAGATGAGAAGTCTGTGGGGTGCTGACAGTTTCTTCTCTGTGTCCAAATCCCTCCCTTCCATTTGGACCAGATGTACTGTTATTCCTCTCCCTCCCACCTGCTGCACCCACACACCACTCTGTCTCTCGCCGTCGCAGAGTTCTGTCGAAAGAGAAGGCTGCTGATGAAAAGGAATCGCTCTTTTTAATCAAGCTCAAATGTGGTCCCAACTCTTCTGACATTCTGCTCATATGCTAGCTTTTTCTATATCCAAACTAAAATGTCTGTTACTTAGCTAGGAGTGTTTTCAATTATGCATTGCCTTCTTGTTTGATTTTGAAAATAGACAATTCTATAAGTCTTTGGTCAACCACATCCTGGACAATAACAAACTGGCTATTGAATACATTTACATTTTTCATTTTGCTTTTTATCCACTATACTAAAAGTATTTCTATGTTGACCAATTGATGGTCCAAGTAATCTTTTTACGTTTTACAATGATAATTATTATTACTGAATCATGAATCTGGTTATGGGCTCTAAACATGGATATTGTCAACAATTTATTCGATGCAACTAGACCACAAGCAGGAATTGAAAGAGAGAACAGTAATTGCAGAATTTGCATAGGGAAAACCATTAACTGGTGGCAGGGCAGTCATCTTAAAACTTAAAGCTGTTGGTTCAATCTCAATTCTGAGCAATACACATTGCCATTGTGGCTTTAAGCAAAACACTTTACCAAACTTGCCCATCTGAATGTTATTGATGGTCACTAAGGCTATTGAGCAATGTAAAGTCAGCCCGTTATTATTATTTGAACCAGAATAGCATGTTTGTTGTGTCCAGTCACAAACACCTCAGCTGTAAAGGCCACTGCAACTGACTTCAGCCCCTTCGGCTCAAACCTGCTGCGATTCATTCAACTGTAAAATAGAATGACTGAGGCTTTTTATTTGACCCCTACAGCATCTGACCATATTTAGTGTTGTGACCCTCGAAGTGATCACTGTGCACACACAGATTCTAAAGAGGGTGTATGAAAACTGTCATTATATCCTTGGGCAAGACACCCCATTACCTTGTCTAAATGTGGTGTGTGCGTGAGGATTAGTGGTGGTCAGAGGGGCCGAAGGCGATGGAGTATTGAGAGAATGAATCACTGTAAAGGATCTTTGAGTGTCCAAGAAATTATCATTTAATTAACATGTAGAAATAAATTGCAAAAGTGGGATTGCCTAAATGCCTCAACTAAGGCTAACTATGTTTACAAAGGGAAGAATAGATTTTTAGAAAACATGAAACAAACAACTTGCGCAAATACTGCATAGTTTCTCTTTTTATCTCTTTTTGTAGTCTTTTTATCGTTTGCCATTGTGCTCAAGTAGCTTTGTATATGAGTGTAATGGAGATATAGCGCCCCCCTTTGTTCAGCATCTTACATTATCACATTTTTGTGTCTTGCAGAAATCGTCAGAGCCATGACACATGTGATAAATCAAGGTATGTCCATGTACTGGGGGACTTCCAGGTGGTCTGCCATGGAGATAATGGTAAGTGGCATTCATCAGTATGTCAGTTGACTGTAAATCCCAATATGAATGTTGAAAATGTAGCCTGACTTTCTGTATACCTCTTAGGAAGCATACTCTGTGGCCCGGCAGTTTAATCTCATTCCACCGGTGTGTGAGCAGGCGGAGTACCACTTTTTTCAGAGGGACAAAGTAGAAACTCAACTACCTGAGCTCTATCATAAAATAGGTGCTTTTTGAATTATCATGAAGAAAAAATAAATAAATATTGAGAGTGTTAATTCATAATTTTTGATTTTTACAAAGTTATATTAACTTTATATCATTATATTTTCTGTAATTAGGAGTTGGAGTGGTCTCGTGGTCCCCCTTGGCCTGTGGAATTATCACTGGAAAATATGACAACGGTATCCCAGAAGCCTCCAGGGCTGCACTAAAGGTAAAGCTTTATACTTAATTGTAATATGTTTTAATTACTGTGAGAGTGAATTGATCTATTTACTTCATAGCCATATCAGTGGTTACGAGACAAAATCATGAGTGAAGAGGGGAAAAAGCAACAAGCCAAACTAAAGGAATTGGGTCATATTTCAGAAAAGCTTGGGTGTACTTTACCACAACTCGCTATTGGTAAGTTGAACATTATTAGGGACTAGCTAGTTGTTCTGTATTAGATATACCATAATTTCTTTTATTTTAGCCTGGTGTCTAAGAAATGAAGGTGTGAGCTCAGTGCTGCTGGGTTCCTCCAATCCAACACAGTTAACAGAAAACCTAGGAGCCATTCAGGTGACTATGAGACACATACAGAGGTGTGTATAAAAATAACCATTTGTTAATCCATGTTTGTACGCTTTAGGTAATTCCAAAGATAACTGCAGGCATTGCCACAGAAGTGGATCATATACTTGGAAATCGGCCACACAACAAAAGGGATTACCATCATTAAGACTAGACTAATTTAAAGAACTGGGGAGCTCATATACAGCCATGGCACTGTCACATGTGCCCAACGTCGCTCATATGTGCGTGTGTGTGTGTGACTGTGTGTGAATGTGTGTGACTGTGAAAAATGGTGTGCTTGGCTCCTTGTGTGAACATCATATTCTCATTTTGTAAAGTGAGCTACTTGACAAAACCTGCATGCAATAGCTATAGCAACAAGCCATGGATGCCCTCCTTACATCTACCCGTGGATCAGCCAAGAGTGCATTGTGCTCTGCACAGTGAAACTATGCAGAACAGTCTGAAATCTTGATTGGATCTTGATGATGTATGGATCTTGATGAAGAATCATTATGTTCTATAGAATGGAAATGATCACTCCAAAAATAGTGCATTTGCTCAGGGCAGTGCAGTAAGTGCATGATACAAAAGAAGCTTGTCACACAGTGCAACATGCTTTAAAGAAAATCCATCATTTGATAAAAATATATCTGAACTTTCTGTGTAAAAAATGCAACAACAGCGTAACTGGTTAGACTCAGAGGGTGATTTGCTGAGTATGTAATTGCACTGGCAGCTGGTGTACCATCTTTTGCATTAGAAGAACAATGTGCCGCTATAACAAGGCTCAAAGTGCCACTCTAAAACATCTGTACTGACTGTTACATACTTGTACATTTATGTCAGTGAGTTTGTCTGTGGGTCTTAGCTCTCATTCTGTTTTGTATAGCTTCCAACAGTAGGAGTACATATTTTGCATTTTAATTTAATCTTTTTCCAGTCATCTGCTTTGTTCATTTCATGTGAATTGTGGACATAACATTTGTACAGCCACAGCAGGTGAGTCATGTAGCTAATGAGGATGCCTAAAAACAACATATGGACCCTGCAGCTTGTGCACCTGGAACACACTGAACTATTGCCATAGTTTTCTTGATGTCACCTTTTCATAACAGGAATAGTTCATGTTTAACTTGTATTTTACTGGTGACGATCAAGTTTGTATATAAATAAAGAGCTTATGGTTATCAAATTTAGAGACATCTAAAATCTCCTTAATCTGATCTATTGCTATTTTTAATTACCTAAAATGTATTAATAGTGCTTGCTTATTTGCTATAATTGAAGTTTCCTCTATGTCATGCTGTTTTGTAATGAATCTTAAATAAATTTACTTTTGTTTACATAGTTTGAATACTATTATTATTTTAAATAAAGTGCTGAAGGGTTTGACTATTTTGCTATGCCAGGTCAATTGAATGCATCGCCGTTTATCCACCTATTGTCTCTTTTTGGAATTATTTGATGTGCAATAGTGACCTGGGCCTCTAGATCATGGGAATATAATGCACTGGATAGACTGTAGATTCATGAAACTTATAAGTTTATATGAGTCTAAAATCCTCATATACTATATTTAGTATGACGGAAATATGTTTTTTATTTCTAGAAAAAACGTTTTTGATAGTGGGGGATCGTAGGGACCAATATATAAGGAGGGCACATGGAGGGCGTGTACTTTCTGTCTTTGCTCCAATCAGAATTCCTCTGTGGAAATACCGCAATTTGATAGGATGGTTGTACTTCCTGAAGTGAATCCTTCTCGAAGCCCGCGGATAACAAACTTTGCAATGTTACAACAACAATGAAACATTACTTAAAATTAGGCATCAAGGACTATTCAAATTTGACTTTTAGGTGACGGGAGTACTCCTCAAAGTAAGCGATTTTGAGGAACAGCTAGCCAAACAAAACAAAGGGCTAGCCTTGTGTTTTGTTAGCATCGAAACTAGCAAATGTCTAGAAACTAGGGCATTGTTGATATCTAGTTATCAAACTTTGCTCACCTCTAATACGCAAAAGGTACGTATTGTGTAAAAATATATATGCATGTACAGAAATACACATATACCTCCAATCCTGTATATCTTTTCAATTTAAGCCTGAAGTCATGTCGCTTTCAAACGAGTCTCGCTTTTGGTCAAACCAAGGCGCTAAACGAAACAACAGAGGAGCAACGATTTGTGCTATAACTGAGCTTTCCCCTCATTTATTTGACGACTTTGAACTGAATAAGTCATATCCGTGTGCTCAGACAACACAGCTTAAGAGGAACCTTTTGGCCTTGGGAGATCAAGGTGCTATTGGATCCTTAAAAGGTAAATGCATTCAAGTGTATGCTTTGTTTATGTATGTAAGAAATATGTTTGTTTTAAGTTAGGTACTAGTTTTTAAATCCGTTTTACATGAACATTTTTTTATACAGGGGGACTTGATAAAGTTTGTAAAGCAGCAAGAAACAACAACTTATCTAAGCTGCACTGGTCCCCAGACTTCTTGCCACATCCGCATACTGCTTCACAAACTGATGAAAATCTCTTTTGGCAACTCATTGATGGGCATTGTGTCCTTTCACAGTCTCCAGCAGTCCTGAACCCAAACAAAGTTATTCTGATTGTAGACCATAAAACCCGAGAGGTAATAAAAATCAGTTGTGTTTAAGGTCATGTTCATAAATCTTATTTTGATGTTTATTTCTGCAGCTTGTTTCAGTCAATGACCAGGCATGTAAACTTTATGACTGCTCCTCTGAAGAACTGATTGGGAAGAAGCTTTCACAGGTGTTAACAAAATCAAATCAGGTTATTGTGGATGTTTTGGAGGAGGACTTTCTTCTCGAAGATGGAACCGTTGCATCTGTGCTTGGAAAAGTGGTATGAAATGTGTTATGCTAACTTTTGGCAGGTGTCATTATGGTGTATAACGTCCTTTTGTAAAGGTGGATGCGATGATGCCATCTGGAGAAGTCCTGGTTTCTGTTTGTACCTACAGACAACCAAAAGGAAACTGGGTTCTTGTCATGGAAAATATTGAAAGATTATCAGCCTTTTTGTCATTTTCTCAACAGGTAAATGGTGAAATTGAACAGTGAGGTTATTCTCTATTAATCATTTCAGTAATCAGTCTAAATAAACTGAATACCCAATGGTTTATTTGGGGTAATTCTAGGGTGACATACTGAGTTGTGACATGGCGTTTGCTCATCTATTTGGGTATCATCATGCACACGAGTTAACAGGGATGTCCATAAATACTCTAATACCTTCTCTACAAATCCATCTTCAAAGTCATGCAGTGCCAAAGGTAAGCAACAAATTGCTGAATTATGGTTGGACTTATTTTATTACAAAATGGGTCTAGCCTGTTTTTGTATTTTTAGTTTCCTAAACTATTTTTGCTTCTCTTGTAGTCCCTGAGGGTGCAAAGAGTACATGGCAAAAGCAGACTGGGTGCATCAGTCCCACTGTGTATTAAACTTCAGGGGGCATTATTATGTGGAACACCACAACACAAGACTAGCTCAAGTTACAACAACTTTATAGATTGTATTGAAGAAAAACAGAAATGTGAACAGGCTGAGAACTTGTCCAAAAAAAACGCTTCATCCTCAGGTTAGGGTCTTTTGACAGAAATGAGGCATTGCACTGTGCAAACATTCATTTTTTTCTCTGCATTTGGCCCAGAAGTGAAAACCGAAAACAGGCATAACCTCTCAGCTTGTCCATCTCTGGAGTACTCTGGTAATGTTTGGGCATTTACTCCTCTCACTGGTCTTCTCCTGCTTGACACCAATGGCTCAATCTATAGTGTCCACAACCACCTGTCTCTCAGCCTTTTTGGTTACAGCAAGGAGGAGCTTTTGGGCAAGGTAAACCAAAATCACCCATTTAAACTAGTCTTGGTATGAATTTGATCATTTTGTCTTTTATTTAGAGTGTTACCTTTCTTATGCCTGGTTTCTATGGATGGATGTCTGAGACTGAAGGACAGGACAGCCACCTCCCGGATTCTCAAGTTGAAGGGGATAATCCTACACAATCAAAAATCTCTAAAGCAGGTGCACACTTTTTCATTTAGCAAGTAATTCCCCATGTAGTTGCCACTTACTACATTGTACTCCTTTAGAGAAGCAAAAGATTTTATTTGTATGTTTGTTTTATAATGGTCTTGTTGTAGACCCCTCCTCGCTGGTGGCTGGAGACATGGCTATGGTAAATCAGGCTGTTGAAGAGCGGACCTCCACTGGACGAGGCAGGATCTTCACTGGGACAAGCTCCAGGTTGGAGCACCAAGCGAGTGCTCTGTCTAACTTTACTTCTCCTGCGGTCACATCCACACGCATGCAAATGCAAGTGACTTCTGTTTACATATTCATTAATGCTTGTACGATGAATCATAAAATTACACATGCTTGTATGATTTGTGGGTGCAATTTAATTACAACTGACGTAATGTTTGCAGGCCTGATAACACAGTGGAGCTCCTAGAGAAGGCAACTCATGTTGCTCCTTGTAGTGCTGAGCTCGCCAGTGCAAACACCACCGAGGAGTTGCTTCAGACCTTTGCTTTGGTAGAACCTTTTGGTGAAGATACATTCTGCCTGGTTTCCACCAAAATCAAACGTAAGAAAAAACAAAGTCATGGAAGAAGAGGCCAAAGACAAACTTCTGGGGGTAAGACAATTTGGTTTTCATTAATATACGAGTTTGTGAATTTGTTCTGGAAAACTCGACAAATTATTTTGTTCATTTAGATACAATAAATGATGACCTACAAGATTCCAGCTTTGAGGTGATTTCAATGGAAAGCAGGTGAAAAAAATGTTTTCTGAGCTTCTGCTCAATTTCATGTCATGGAACAAACGTCAAAAACTATTTCTTTAACTATTTCTCTAACAGGTCTTCTTCTGGTTTCTGTGAAAAGTTTGCTGGCCATGCAGGGTCAGATCCTGGTCGTCCAGAGCAATCCAGTTCAGCCCATGCGGCCGACTCTGCCAGCTGTTTCCTGGATCTGAACAGCGAAGGGGAACTAGTGACAAGGGCCTTGGCTGACCTTGACTTGAGTGGTAATTTAGAACTATTTAATGGTAGACAGAGCCACCAGGAAACCCAGCACAGTACAACTACGTGTGACACTGCAGAGCTTCTTCATACTCCATCTCCTTATATCTCAGAAAATGACCAGGGAGGACAGTCACCCGTTCAAGTTGAAAATCCCACTGGTGAACGCATTCCAAATGGCTGTGAGGAAAAACAGTTGGCTGCAATACAGCCGCTGTCGGATATTCATGTCACATCTACCCCCAAGAAGCAAAAGGATCCCTTCAAGACACAAGAGATAGTGGAAGGGCAGTTTAAGGGCTGTGCATACCACAGAGATGGCGCACAGATAGGTTTGTAGTAGTTAATGAAATGTTATATGTCCAACTCTATCTCACAGTGAATCCTGTTTTTATTTCCAGATGTGCAGTGTGATGTTTGCAGGACCTCTCTCCCTCATGGAGGTTTTCTGTATTGTGTGTGGATGAGTAGACTTGGTCACCAGGGGTCAGTGTTGCTCACAAGAAAATCACTACATGATGAGTCCAAAACTAGTCTAGGGGAGGTTTGTGGCTCTTTGGAGAAAGAAATCAGTTGAGTTTTCCTTAATATTTTACCATAAATAGTTTTTTTTGTTTTCCCCAGAGAATAGGTGAAGCTACTCATAGAGATGCATTGCACACTACTATGGACCTGGAGCATTCTCGTGCATGTGATGGTCAATTTGAAGAAGAATATCAGACTGTTAAAGCTGTTGGTAAAGGAGCCTTTGGGTTTGTTTGGAAAGCAATAAGGCGCAGTGATGGACAAGAAGTAATAATATATACATTATTAGCCAATTATATATAATATTTTCCTCTTAAAATATGACGTGTTTATGTGTACATTTAAGGTTGTTGTAAAGTTCATTAACAAAACAAGGATAGTGAGCGACAGCTGGGTCGATGATCCCATGCTTGGAAGAGTTAGCCAGGAAATTGCCATCCTCACTAGAGTACAGCATCACAACATTGTCAAGGTAATACCTCAAATCCAAAGTTTGTGTGTTCAGTAAACCCTTTATTCATCTTCAACTATTATAGGTGATGGAGGTTTTTGAGAATGAGGGATATTTCCAGATGGTTATGGAGAAGCATGGTGAGGGACTGGACCTATTTGAATTCATAGATCGGCAACCAAGACTGGATGAACCTCTCGCTAGCTATATTTTCAGACAGGTACATAGAGTAATGTAGGTATAAACATGTATTGTTTTTAAGTTAATTTAATTATTATTGGGGATATTTTTTAGCTTGTGGCAGCAGTGTTTTACCTAAGAACAAAGAACATCCTTCATAGAGACATAAAGGATGAGAATATCATTATTGACAAATGCTTCCACATTCGACTCATTGACTTTGGTTCTGCTGCAATGATGGTGCCTGGAAAACTGTTCTATAATTTCTGTGGCACGCTTGAGTATTGCTCCCCAGAGGTGCTTCAGGGAAATCCGTAAGTCATAACAATTGAATTAATTAGCACTTTTTAAATTGAATTCACTGGTTTGGTAACTGTTTCTTATGCAGCTATGGAGGCCCGGAGCTAGAAATGTGGTCAGTTGGGGTTTTGCTTTACACACTTCTCTTTAGTGAGAATCCTTTTTGTGGCGTGGACGAGATTCTGAATGCAAAACTGAAGCTCCCATTTCCATTGACTCCCGGTATGTGTGATCAGTTCAAGATTGTTTTGAAACAGCTGTGTGTGTGTGTTATCATTGCACAAAATAAATATTGCACAAAAAATTAATATTTGCTTGTTTTGAATCCTTTTGTTTTTCAATGCACAGAGCTGCAGGAGGTGCTGAGTGGTCTGTTGCACCCTGATCCCACAGAGAGGATGACCCTAGACCAGCTTCTCCTTCAGTCCTGGATCAGCCAACCTATTTCCCTTTCAGAGTATAGCTGGGCAGAGGTGGTGCCAACCGACCAAAGCTTTTGTAAGTGTCACTGACCCAAGTGCGTCCCGTTCCATACTAACCACACATACAATTATCTGAGATGCTTTATTATTTTTTTTTGGAAGGTTCACCACTACCATCTGAGTCAGGCCCCAGAGAATATCTTGGACAAGGTTTATTCCCTGATCATGGAGATGAGACTCTTCCTGATGATGATGATGATGAAGATGAGGAAGATGAAAGGTTTTCTCTGGAAAATGAGCTCCAGAAGTATCTGAGAAATTATGAATAGAAATAAAAATTGTGGACTATACAGTAATTGAAGGAGAGCAGAGGGTTAGAAGAAAATAAGCTAGTATTAGTAAATTTAGAGATTATAATGAAGACTTAGGGATTTATTTTTGTTTTAGATGTTAACTGTACTTGAAGATCATGTAAGGGCTGATTGAGACTTCCATTTTTATCTACCATATTTATTCTACAAAAGGAAATTTATTTAAGTCACACATCCTATAATGCCAAAACCAAGTGTTAATTTTGTTGTTTTTTTTTTTAATGACAGTTTTTTTGCATGTTCTTTAGTGCCTGTTTTGTGTTGTATATAAATCTCCCCACCATATTTATTTTTTGGATAATAATAAATATTTTATAGAAATATATATATATATATATACCTTTGTGGATTTTTCTGTGATTGTTAATAGACCATTAGTTGGTATAAACTATTTACCATTAATCAGAGAAATTTAGTTCACATTCCCTGTAAGAAGATAACATCCAGTCCTACTGAAACTAAGCAGAAACTTGCTGTGCTCAATGTCAGATCTTTATGTAACAAATCATTTCTAATTCATGATTTTATTTCTTCTTTTAATCTTGACTTTATGTTTTTAACTGAAACATGGCTTGACAAAAACACAGGTCATGCAGTGCTAGTGGAATCAACCCCTCCCAACTTCAAATTTGAATCTGAAACACGAGCAAATAAAAAGGGTGGAGTGTGTGCATTTTTTAGAGATCATTTGGTTACACACAGGTTGTCATTTGGGGTGTTTTCATCATTTGAGTATGTTTCCTTCAAAATGGAGCTAAAATAATCACCGTCCATACTCTACATAGTCATATACAAACATCCTCAGCACTGTCAAAGTTTTATTGATGATTTTACTGAGATGCTTTCAGTTGTTTGCACAGACTTTGATGGTTTAGTCATTACAGGTGATTTTAATGTACATGTGGATAATGTGTGTGACAAAAATGCCAAAGAGCTTAGTGTTGTCCTTGAAACTTTTGGTCTGACTCAGCATGTCAGTGAGCCCACTCACAACAGAGGGCACACTCTGGACCTGCTCATTACAAAGGGTGTAAATATTTCAAATGTCAGTGTGGTTGATGTTGCTCTGTTTGATCATTTCTGTGTCTTCTTTGACCTGTCTGTTATTCCCAAACCACCAGCTGCTCCTACAGTTGTTCGAAGAAGACACATAAATGATAACACAGGTGCACTGTTCATGGAAATGATAAATTTTGAAATTGCCTCATGTTCTAATGTTGATGTGTTGAACTCTGTGACTTTGAGTGTTTTGAATGTTCTGGATGCCATCGCCCCGATAAAAGTTAAAATGGTTAAAGATAGGCAAAAAGCTCCGTGGAGGAATGATGACTCAGTCAGTGCACAGAAAAGGGAGTGCCGGAAGGCTGAGCGGAAATGTCAAACCTCCAGGTTCATTATGAGATTTACAGAGGAAAAATGCATATGTACAACTACACTTTGAGTAAAACAAGAGAGAAGTATTTTTCGGACATTATTGGTAATTGCAGTAACAACTCTCGTGTCCTGTTTGCAACAGTGAACAGATTAACAAACCCTCCAGCTCCACTGCCACTAGAACTAATTTCCACCTCTAAATGTAATGAGTTTGCAGTTTTCTTTAATGACAAAGTTCAGGGCATCAAAAATGCCATCAATTCCACAACACAAATAACCAGCATGCAGCCACAGAGACACTTAGAGCTGAATCACTTTGCACCTGTAACTGACAAAACTGTTTTAGAGATCGTTACCAGTCTGAGTTCATCTACTTGCTGCCTGGACATGTTACCCACTAGATTTCTAAAGTCTGTCCTCAACAGTTTACTTTCACCACTCACTCACATAGTTAACATGTCACTTCAATCTGGAACATTCCCAAACACGTTGAAAACTGCGGTCATTAAGCCTCTCCTAAAGAAGAGCAGTCTTGATGCCACAGTACTGAACAATTTCCGACCCATCTCAAATCTGCCGTTTTTTGGCAAAGTCCTTGAAAAAGCTGTTTACCAACAGCTTACGAACTTTCTCCAAATGAACAACTCCTTTGATGTTTTCCAGTCAGGTTTTAGAGCCCACCACAGCACTGAGACTGCTCTTATCAAGGTGACAAATGACATCCGCCTGAACACTGATGCAGGCAAAGTCTCAGTCTTGATCCTGTTAGATCTGAGTGCTGCTTTTGACACTGTCGATCATGGGATCCTCTTACAGAGACTGGAGGACTGGGTGGGCATCTCTGGTACTGTACTAAACTGGTTCAAGTCCTATCTAGAAGACAGGAAGTATTTTGTTGAAATTGGAAACTGTGTCTCAGATCACATGGCCCTGACCTGTGGGGTGCCTCAGGGGTCAATCCTGGGCCCCCTGTTGTTCAATCTCTACATGCTGCCATTAGGCCAGTTAATAAGCAGCAATAATGTGTCCTACCACAATTATGCAGATGACACTCAGATCTACGTCTCTCTGGCAGCAGGAGACTATGGACACTTGGTCACTGCATCCAACAGATCAGTGTGTGGATGCAAAACAACTTTCTCCAGCTAAACTCTGACAAGACTGAAGTCATAGTCTTTGGTCCACAGAAACAAAGGGACAGTGTCAGCAGTCACCTCCAGTCTCTCTCTCTAAAACCTTCAAATCAGGCAAGAAATCTAGGGGTAATAATGGACTCAGACTTGAACTTTAACAGCCACATCAAATCAATAACATCTGCAGCCTTTTACCATCTAAAAAACATAGCAAAAATCAAAGGTTTACTGTCTAAAGTAGACTTGGAGAAACTTATCCATGCGTTTGTCTCCAGTAGATTAGACTACTGTAATGGTCTGCTCACTGGTCTCTCCAAACGAGCTGTGAGACAGCTGCAGAACATCCAGAACATCCAGAATGCTGCAGCTCGCGTCCTTACTCGAACTAGGAAGTACGAGCACATAAGTCCTGTGCTCAGGTCTCTGCACTGGCTTCCTGTGCCTCAGAGAATAGACTTTAAAGCAGCTCTGCTTGTGTACAAGTCTCTCCATGGCCGAGCACCAAAGTACATCTGTGACATGTTAGTGTCATATGAACCATCTCACACTCTGAGGAGCTCAGGGACCGGCCTCCTGCTGGTGCCCAGAGTCAGGACTAAACAAGGGGAGTCAGCGTTTCAGGTTCATGCAGCTAAAACCTGGAACAGTCTTCCTGAACATGTGAGACAGGCCTCTTCTGTGACGCTGTTTAAATCCAGGCTCAAAACATTTCTGTTTAACTGTGCATATAACTGAAAGGTTTTAATTCCGCACTCTTCTCTCCAATTTATGTCTCTCTTTTTTCAATTTTAATCTTCATGATTATTTATGTTTTGATTTGTTTTTATTATGATTTTAATGTATTTCTTATTCTGTAAAGCACTTTGAATTACTTTGTGTACGAATTGTGCTATACAAATAAACTTGCCTTGCCTTGCCTTAATGAGTATTGATAAATAACACACGTGGGAACCAGTGGTGGCTGGTCTGTAGAGGGTGCAAGTGCCGTCTAACTTCACCTAGATTTAAAAATAAATAAAACATATATATATAATCGTTATTTTGTATTAGGCTATATGTTTAATATTTTGTTTTTTACGCGTATCTGCATAGACATATTTTTATCATGTTAAATGTGCTCATATCGCTTTATTTGAGTCACGTGTTTGACATTTGAGTGTCCTGGGTCGGAATGTCATAATGTAGGTCAATGGGAAAGCCTGAAGTTGGCAGAAAATTTGACGTCTTTACGTTGCTTCTGCCCATTACTTTACGTTACAGCCGTAAAATACGTCTTAGGAGCGTAGGGTAGGGCGACCTGAAATCAAGTGATTGGTCTTTATAAACATTATCACACACTTCTGGCCTATTGTGACGCGTGATCGCTCTCCCGCCCAGCCCCAACTCTCCACTTACAGCATGTTACTGCTACAGACTAATGAGTGGATAACAACAGAGCTGCGTACGATACAGCTATCTTACTCCATAGAGTTCAACTTCAACTCCAAGCGCGTCCGAGGAACAGTTTTTAGGGAGCAATATGTTTTCTCTTCAGCGGGACCCTTGTGCCAAGGAAGAAAAGTATAAATATTGAAGAGCACTATCACTCAGGTTTAAGGACTGTATAGGTGTTAGCTCGGATTGTGATATTCGCCCTGGAGTGCCGGTCAGGACACAGGAGACAGGATGCAGATGGTGTATTTAGGAGTTTTAATGAAGCTCAGGCAACATCGCAGAACATTATTGGTTGTATGGTGGTCTATAAAGAAAAAGAATAAACAAATTAAGTTACCGTACTACAGATTACAGTAATAAAGTAAAAGGTGTACAAGTGTACTACTAAGTATGTAACAAACATAAACAGCAAACATGGATGGGCTAAATAAAGCACACAATAAAGACATAATATAACTATAAGGAACATACACGGCACGACACACGAAATTGCATTAGCGGCTAAGCTAATGTAAGCTCCCTTATAAACATAACTACACAGGTATTGTAGGAATATGAACACATCCCGACATGCGTAAAACAATAACAAAGGACTTATAAAACGTCCACATAGCTCCGAATACCATAAACTTACTTTTTGTCAACAACGCACAACTTTAACTGACGATACGTGTCTGCAAGCCCGAGCCTCGTGAACCAATTAAGACAGCGGTGCCGTGCGCTCTGAACTAAAGCATGCATTAACTCACAGCACCTCTAGAGGGCGCTCCTGACAAAGCTACTGCCTTTCTAACAATAAAAGTATATAGAAAAGAAACATTAAGATGAAATCCTACGGGTCTTGTGTTGATTCACACTGGCTAATGACGGCTAGCCACTTTCACCTAAACCTCTACACTGGAGAGCGGGAGGAGAGTGAAGACACCGTGATGCTGCGGCCGGGACTCGGAGGCACTCGCTCGCTGTTCTATCCGCATCCCCTCGCCCGTTTCTGTGCGTAAAAGTTTCAGGACTTAAGTCTACCTGGTGCCCTAGTGCTAATAAGGACTGGCTGTAACCTTTATATTTGAATGGGACGTGAGATTAAGACTAGTTTTACAAGCAGTTCGTGCATTCGGGTCCCGGACATTGTGTCGCGGACCTGACTGGACCGGGACTTGGACCATCTCTTCATATTGGAGACAGAACCAACAGGACAGTGGGCAGAGGATACGCTCTCGATCAGTCCTCTGGAGAAGGTAAGAGGCTTGTTTTCGTTAGTTTGCGGGCGGAGCCTCACAGGTAGGTAAATAGGGTTAATAGTTAAATAGTGCGTAAATGAGCTCGGAGCCAACGGAGCTGCTCCGGTTGTTCTGCCGTGCGCTGTATGAGCGGCGCTGATGCCGTTGTGTTCGGGTTGTGTCCGTAGCCTCTTATTGTAGTTTTGCTGACGTTGCTGGAGCTGGGTGCGAGCGGTGGATCAGGTTGTTGTGCATTGTGCTCTGATGCATATAGTTCAGCCAATAGTGGCCAAAATGACTGTCAGTTTCTAGCATTCGTTATAAAACTATATAGACTATATACAATACGTATATTTATAATACTTATTTATAATTTTGGCCTACTAATAAAAAAATAAATTAAAAAAATACCACCAGCCGCCACTGGTAGGAACCATTGTCTACATTAGTTCAACCCGGTAAAATATACTTGACGGACAAAGATGGGCTCTTTCTTTCCCGTTGCAGTGCGACAGGTAAACGGCATCTTTCTTTGATTAATTTAATGGCAATATAGGCGTATTTTCATATTTTCCATCTTACACGTGAACCTAACTGACTAGAATCTTTTAAGAATCCTTTCATCCCGTACAGTGGCATTTTTATACCTAATAAACATTTAATATACACTCACAAGTTCTTTTGCCCGAAACTATCCCTACTATTACTCTATTACCGCTACTGCAGTAACAAGTCCACGTGTTTTCTAGGTTTGCTGGATTGCACGGTACTCCAGCTATCATCTGTCAAGTTCAGTCCTGTGCATGAGATGTCTCCAGCCGCCTCGCTGTCTCACAAGAAGGCTTCGCTCCTCCGCCGCAGACAACATCCCCCAGAACCAAGAACCCACTGTACAGATTTCTGTGCGTGGGTTACTCGATATGGGCTTTACCGACACCCAAGCAGAACACATTTACGAAACAGTTGGCAAAAGCAGAGGAGAAAGTACTGCAAAACACACGTTATCAACGCTGTCAGCTTTGATTGTCCTTGGCCTTAATCCAACAAGTGTCCTGAAGCTGTTAGAAAAATGTCCAGAGTTATACAGTATCAAGGAAGCACAGTTGCAACAGCGCATTTCAAATCTCAGAAAACTAGGCCTTCTTGAAGGTAAAATTAATATAAGTTGGTTTGCCCATCTGATATGCCTGCAATATTTACATTATTATTTTATTTGTAGGCAGCCTTCAGAGAGTAGTGGCCTATCACCCTCAGATCTTGACCATGAAGGTGAAGAAAATCAACAACATGGTAATGTTTCTTAAAGAGAAGTGTCTCTTTACATCGCAACAGGTCACAGATATTCTTCGAGAAAGTCCAGCTATAATACATGAGGACTTGGCGCAGATTCAGTACAAGTTTCAGGTATTCTACCTTCTCTTGATTAATACATTGGAGTGACATTGAAATTTTTACACAAGGCTGCTTCTAAATTAACAGATGTGATGATACAGGAGTGACTATTCAGACAGCAGATATTTTGGTGACTAGTAGGGATAGGAGATTAAACAGTACATAATCCTACCAAAGGTTATTGGCATTTGATTGGAAAAGGGTGTGATTCTATAATTGTGACACAAAATATCAGTATCATCCCATGCTTAATGAGTGATCTTAAAGTCCTAGTTTAGAGTTAGACATATGCTGCTATTGGAGTATTTGGTATTTAACAATTATAGAATCATTATTTTATTAAATTGTTTTAAATTTGGTTCATTGTGTACTGCAGTAATGATTTAAAGTGACTAGAAACAGGTCAATTTAATTCTTGCTCAAAACTGCAGAACTGAAAGCTTTTTATAGTGAAATCTCTTCAAAAATGTTCACATAAGCTAAAAAGAGAAAAAAAAATTACATAATATATCTGTTATTAAGAAAACAATATATATTTTGGTGTGGGGATATTGATGATGGAAGCTCTAATGAAGATAGAGGGGTAGTAACAAAAGAGATAAAATTGTCTACTGTAGTAGAAGTTGCTGCACTTAAATTTTCAACAGTGCAGGGAAAATGCTATTGAGAATTATTGCCCCCTCTGGTGGACACATTTGACATTTTCACCTGCTTGTTTATTGCCTTTTCTTCACAGTATGTTTATTTTCGAATGGGAGTCAAACAGGCTGAGATGGTCAAGTCCAGGCTGTTCCGTTTTACTCTGGATGAAGTGCGGAATCGTCACTGTTTTCTGGAGCGGAGGGGACTTTTTGAAACCCCTGACAAAAAAGGACAGACCACTATTATCAACCCCAAACTTAGCAGCATCCTCAATGTGGATCAAGACATGTTTCTTACTCAAGTGGCTAAAGCTACACTCGAAGAGTATGATGTTTTTCAGAGACTAATGGCAAGAGAATATCAAAAGGAAGAGCACCTGGTGGACTTGGACAGCATCATTGATGATGACGAGGATGTGAAGGAAGAAGTGGGAAATAAGGGGAAAATGGGATACATGAAGAGGAAAAAGAAGTTACATCAAGAAACCTAAAATATAATTTTTAAAATATAATGAATTTAGATGATAAGTCTTCCTTAATAAATTTAAATTACCAAAACTAGTAAATGTCAATGATTTTATATTGTTTTTAGTAATAGTATAAAATAAAATATTAGGCGTAACTACTCAATTATGGAAATAGTAATTGAGTAATCAAATGGACTGTATACAAACTCCAGTAAATGCATGTGCCAAGAAAAGGTTAGATAGAGTAGGAAGATAAAGTATTAAAAGTATATCAAGATGGCCTCAAGATGTATTTTCAGTCCTTTTTCAATCTGATGACAAATGTTTGGATTACAATTTATCAAAATCTGAATCATGTTATTGAAAGTAAGATTAAAAGCCCTGTTTCATTGCTTTTAATTAAAATTTATGAAAATCTTGAGGGCAAAAATGTCATACCTTTTTTGCCATATCAGACAGCCTTAGTTTGAAGCTTAAGGTACTTGAAGAGATACTAGAAATGTGGAGTAGTACAGAAAAAATGCCGAGCATCTTTAAGCTCCACCCTGTTGCTATGTGATGGTCAAGCATTTATTGCTTTCTCCATTGCTTTATCACCTGTACAAGTCAATATTACCCCATCAAGCTGCTGGATCACTCTGGTACTAAGTACCTATCGATTTATAGAAGCATTTAGACAAGCTGGTGTGGAGTAGAGGCTCACAACATACTGGCAGGTAAGAGATGTTATCTTTCTGCAATAATATGTCAATAATATGTAATATGTTATCTTTATGCAATAAATTGTCAAAATTGTAAAATGTTTGAACAGCCCATAAGATTTTGTGTTTTTATCAATGTCAATATCAGTTTTGCTTTTTTCCTGTTCCTCAGCTAGTACTTGCGTCATATGTAAAAGTCAAATAATTCTACTTGAACTTATTTGTTTATTGTCTGTTGTATTTGCTTGTTGTCCATTCATAGCTGTATTTTTCAAGTTAACAATGCATCAGTTGTTACCTTTAGCCATCGATCTTAGATTTACACTGTTTTTTCATTTACAGACAGTTTCAGTTGAAGATATTTGGAATATATGGATTTGGGGAACATGGAGCCTGGGCTTCAGATATCAAACATCACAGAGGAATGGGCCAAAAGCTTTCGAAAATTGCACATGGAATTCTTTGTCATCTCTACCACCGTTTTCACTCTGGCCACATTGATAGTAAACTTTATTCTTCTGGCATGCATATTTCGGACTCACGCTTTATGCCAAGAAACACGGTATTTACTTGTGGCCAACACCTTGATATCAGATGTACTGTTCCTAATTTTTCATCTGACCACACAGCTTTGTAATTCCACTGGCGTTGTAATTTCCTGGACAGTTTGTGAACTGGTCACAACTGTCACTGCCACTGCCTACTCCTCTGCGATCCTCAGCGTCACTCTCATGGTGGTTGACACATATGCTGCTGTACGCTGGCCATTGAAATACAGAGAATTTTTACCACCAGCTCGAACCCACCGCATACTACTTGGGATGTGGCTCTTTGCTACCACTTACCCATTAACTCTTGTCATTTTGATGGTCAGTGACAGGAAGCAAGATGAGGAAGTTAAAATGTGTCTTGTCCTCATCTTACTTTGGTTTATGGAGACAAAAAACACAGTTGGCAACCACCTCTATTTATTGATCACTGCAATTGTTTGTGCCATTCTGATTTTGTACTGCTATATCCGGCTCTACATGGTGACAAAGACTCAAGGGATCTGGCAAAGCCGCTTTTCCAGAGCCAGAGGCACTCTCCTTGTTCATGGCATTCTCCTGATGCTATACTTCACTCCCAGCTTTGTCTTCAGTGTGGAGTTGATCTTGTTTCACAGAAAAGACATAAACCACGACGTTCAGGTGTGGATCAGTACAGTCAATATGTCTGTTTTTATGCTATTGCCGAGAGCCTGTGCTCCTTACTTATATGGCCTCAGATACAGGGAAATCCGTGAAACATTAATACAGCTGCTGTTTCACCCCAGATGCCGTCCTCAGATTACATTCTCATAAATATAGTAACAATAATCGTCATCATTATTTGATTAATTTATTGTGAATGCATGCTACCTCCCAGGGTGTGGGCCAATAATGTTACAAATACAGAGTAACTATACAAAGTATACACACATTTTAAGCATATTGTGTATAAATGAGTAGGTTGTTTTTGTTTAGTTTCATTTTAGTTTCATTTTGCTATGAACATAAGAACTGAATATGTGTGTATGATGCTGTACATTCCATACTTTTATGGCCTTAACATATGGCCAGCGCTCTGCTCTGTGCTTTGTTCATTCATTCAGACACACATCTAATGACACTGGGTAGAGTCTAGAGATGGGAAAAGAGGTACACATTGTAAAAATATATAATTTTTGACTATACATATATATATGTATATATATATTTTATATATATATTATACACACACACACACACATATATATATATATAATATACACACACACACACACTTTTTATTATTTGTTGCTTAACTAAGTGTGTAGAAGTGTTGCTGTATTTTTTGTGCTTAAACTCAGACATTTTTTTCCTTAAAATTCCATATACCCACTGAAAAGAAGGTACAATGTACATTTATACCAAATACAAATAATTTATGTGTACACACACTGTAATCTAATCTTGACTGGTGAGTGGACGGAGGCTTTTGTCATGTAAGATGTCAGGTCCAGCAGCCTGAATACCATAAAAAACATGACCCGCTTCTTAGGAACCATAGGAACTCAAACATTTTGCAACAGCATGGGGAAGTTGTGACATCCTTTGTTCCAAAAGCTCCTCCCTCTTCTGCACCTGAAATACACTGGCCTTGTTTTCACGTGTTCCATTCCCTTGGAAAATATTTCTTAAAAACGATAAACTTTGTGACACTTTTAAAATCATGATGTTAGATAGAAAAATATAAAAATAAAAAAAATACAACATCTTCAAATGTCTTGTGTTGTTAGTATTTTTCCATGTTCTCGTTACACCTGCGACTTTTATTTTGTGTTTTTCTGTGTGCTTCGTTTTTGAATTCTTTATTCGTCGAAAGTTGGTTTGTTTGCAAACAAAGGGAAGCCACGTGGAGAAAATGAGTCCAGTGGGAAGTGTTGTTCCTCTCCGAGTCTACTGTACTGATAGCCAAGTCTAACAAACTTCATTACCCAGAAGGCACTGCTCGCAGCAGCTGAGTCGCTGAAGTGGGCTGGATTTTCTTTTTGTTGACAAGTATATAATGGGTCTGAACAGTTAGCTGGTAGAAGTCTTTGTTTGTTACCACGTCAAAATGTCTTGCTTGTATTGGAGTCACGTTGAATCTTAATATTTGAGGGAAAATATTAGTTATAGGAGTTTTTGAAAGTTTTCAAGACTCTTTTTTTTTTTTCCCTCCAACTTTTTCTTTCTTTTTTCTTGAAGTCCAAAGAGGCCTAACAGGGGGAAAAAGTCCTCACCGGGTAATACTGATCTTTCTACAGTACCTCCAATGTTTGTTTTGATCTGTATTTAACACTTTTCACGTGTTGTAAGTTTGTGTCTGCTACATGATTTGTTGACTAGCGGCACAAGGAATGCCTCCTTTGTCTGCCTATTTTTAGCTTCAAGTAGGCCTATAACGTTAAATATAATTTATTCATTTAATAATTTGTTACTGGTATGCCATATCGGATTAGTGTTGCATTAATATGTTTGTTGTGTTTATCTAAAATTTCTCAGTTTTTTACATAAGTTTAAATTATGCCATGATGAAACTGCGCAGTGCGCACCTGCCCTGTTGTTAGTAATCGGTGCACTTTGATTTAGTGACTATTTATTGATTTACATTGATTTATTATTTTTAAGCCACAATATTAATCATAGACCATAATAGGCAAAAAGGGGGAAAAAAAAACAATACTTGGATCACTTAATTAGTGTCTAGTGCGTTTTCCGTTTTTGATGCTCCGTATCCCGCCGAGAGCGTGGTGTTGCATCCTCAAATAAATACTCGTGTGGCTAAACCAGTCCTAAGTCAGGTTTAGTCACAGGAGGTGCTTCCGTCAACTTTGGCACGTGATAAGATTACCTTTGCCCTTGCTGATTTAAAAATAACTTTGTAGAGAGACAGAGACTAATAAATCATTTAAATAATAGAAAAGTTATTCTCTCTTAGGCCAACCATTTAGAGATTCGGAAACCACAATAAAATAAATATTGTAGGAAATGCATAAATTGATGTTTGGTTGTATTATTTATCATTTATAACTTTATGAATTACATACTAAATACAAATAGTGCAATAGTGAAATCTAAATGAACAACTTTGACATTGACCATATATCAAACCTCAATCCTGTGTCTGATCCCTGCCCCCACTTTCAAAACAAACCTGTGTGACGTGTACCTTGGATTTGAACCATTGCTCAACAACTTCCCTCCTCTCCTGTCTCCTGTGTGTGTGTGTGCCTCTGTGTCAAAAGGTTCATTTTGCTGCAGGCTAAAACCGCAGCATTGATGAGATGGAGGAAGTGTTATAACGTTATTGTTAACTGCCTCACCCCAAAGTTACACAGTCAATGTTGTGTGGATGTTTTGTTTTTTATTTGTAAAACAATGGACCTCTTTTTATATATTTTTGCTGTTAGCTCATTACTATGGATGAATTTAATCAGTTATGCTTAACATTTTTCAGGTTTTCATTCATCTTAGAAACAGTCTACTTTGAACGTGGCAATCATGGTGTTGATTCTAGGCAGACGAATGAACAGAGAGGATTCTGGGATCAGAGACTCTCCTGCTGTCAAGCGCAAGGTCAGAATTTATTATGATGGCCCTTGTTTGTGTGGTATTACTTTTTATTTTTTATTTTTTTGGAATAACTCTAATACTGTGTTTTAGGTCTTTGAGGTTGATTCCAAAAGCTTATCCAGTCAGGATGTACTGGACTTCTGCTCTGGGGCGTCCCACTCTGAAGGCATCCTGCAAGTGTTCAATGAGTTCCGTGACTGCCGCCTGTTCACAGATGTGGTCATCAGCGTTCAGGGCCGTGAGTTTCCCTGTCACCGCGCTGTGCTGTCTGCGTGCTCCTCCTATTTCAGAGCTATGTTCTGCAATGACCACCGTGAAAGCCGCGAGATGCTAGTAGAGATTAATGGTATCCTCGCTGAAGCCATGGATTCATTTCTGACCTACGTTTACACAGGCCGCGCCAAGATTACAACTGAGAATGTGCAGTTCCTCTTTGAGACGTCCAGCCTCTTCCAGATCTATACTCTACGTGATGCTTGTGCTAAGTTCCTTGAAGACCAACTGGACCCATGCAACTGCCTGGGCATACAGCGCTTTGCAGATGCCCACTCCTTGAAGCAGCTCGCCAGCCGCTGTCGCAGCTATGCCCTGGCCAACTTCTCCGAGGTGGCTCAGCATGAGGAGTTTTTAGATCTTCACAAAGAAGAGCTGGAGGAGTACATTGCCAGTGATGAGCTGTCCATTGGGAAGGAGGAGGTGGTGTTCGAGGCAGTCATGCGCTGGGTCTACCACTGTGCTGAGCACAGGAGGCCCATGCTCAAGGACCTGCTGCACCATGTGCGTCTGCCACTTCTGCACCCAAACTACTTTGTCCAGACAGTGGAGGGAGACCAGATCATTCAGAATGCCCCAGAGTGCTACCAGCTTCTCCACGAGGCCAGGCGCTACCATGTGCTTGGAAATGAGATGATGTCACCAAGAACCCGCCCACGCAGGTAACAGAAAAAATGACGGTCACTGTTTGATGTCACAAGCTTTTATTCAAATTAGAAAAAATTGCCTCTAAACATCAAGGTAGGATAATCACAAACAGATATGTTTTTTTGTTATTGAGCTGCTTAACCGCTTTCATTTGTAACACAACATATATTACCATTAATATCATAACTTGTTGTTAGTTTGTTGTTGTTTAACAGAGTGAAATCCAATGTCAGGCAGAGTTGTTATGCTCATGCCATTGCCTGCTCTGTGAGCTTATTTTGAACAGAAATAATAATGGAGGCAGGGCATGTTCCTACAGAGAGAGGCTGTCTTGAAAAAAGAAAAAAAAAAAAAGTGATGCAATCAAGAAATGTTCAGTCTTGCTTTTTGCCATGCCGTTTTACCGACTTACCCAGTGCCCTTTACCTGAGTTATTTAAATAAAGTCTGTTGTGCCAGTTATGTTTAATATTTTATAAATTAAGGGTTAAAGCTGTGTTAGCTCACTGAGAAATACAAAAGAGGCCATATGGTGAACAGTGGGACAGTAAACAAAAGTGCAGCTGTCTCATGCGATAGGCTTGTTAAGAGAGCTGAACAGGACCAGTTGTGTGTGTCAGTTATTATTGGTGGGTGATTTGTATTTCAGTTGCATTGTGTCCTGTATCTAGGCAGATGTATTCATGAATAGGCCAATCAGATTCCACACGGTTGGCTTTGTTTACCCTCAGGCCCAGCGCTGTCTCAGACTGAACTGGATTCATACCTCTCCCTTTGCACCTGCATTGCTTTTTATGCACAAACTGCTCCAGGCCTTACTTTTCTCTGACACAAAGATTCCTACTGTAAGGATCCTGGTGTCCTTCACATCACAAGTCTTGAATAACATTGAAATACGAGTCTAGAATCTACAGTGTACAGTTGAGACATTATATGTGCATAAATAATTTGATTAGTTAATCCTTTGTACTGCTGGGTTTGTGTATTATGTGTATCCTTGTTTATTGTTGTTCACAAGCTTCAAACTGAACTTTGCCTTCTAGATAAGTGAGGATTTTCTTGTGCTTGCCTATTCATGCACAGGTATTATCTTTGGTGTTGACCTAAACTTTGTTTTTAGCTTCATACCATTTGTCTAGACTGACAAACACACATATAATTAAGCAGTATTAATGACTATGATAATAAAGACATTGATTGTAAATCTGTTATTTGGTATTTCACTCAGGTCGACTGGGTTCTCTGAGGTGATTGTTGTGGTTGGAGGTTGTGAGAGGGTGGGAGGCTTCAATCTGCCCTACACTGAGTGCTTTGATCCAGTCACAGGAGAGTGGAAGTCACTGGCCAAACTGCCAGAGTTCACCAAGTCTGAGTACGCAGTCTGTGCTCTGCGCAATGACATTCTGGTTTCAGGTAAGTGCTGTAAGACGTACACTTCTACATTTATCTCTGTGTGTGACTGCACGTGTGAGAGAGAGAGAGAGAGAGAGACTGAGGGAGAGCTGCTGTGTAATCTCCCTGCGGACCGGCAGGAAGGCCGTGCTGGCTGTTTGCCTTGTGTTATTTTTAATGCCTCACACAGTTGGACTTGAAGGAAAATATGAGAACAACATCTGGATGCACTCTGAGCTCAGTCCTGTGAGAGGCGTTCTGCCAGCACCAGTGCACTCTCTCTCTATTGGCCAATATTCAGGGCCATTGCCTCTCTGTTGTTTTTATTTTTATTTTTTTTTATTTTTCTTAATTTAGTAATTAGTAAATAGCATAACCAAAAGTGTAGCATCACTTCTTCTAGATGTCAAAACAGCTGTTTTGTATACGTCAGCATTGACAGGGCATGGAATTAAGTAGTGTTTAGAAAAGCAGTGGATAAATGTGTCTGCTAGCATTGTTCATGCTTATTAAGCTCGACAAACCCGACCAAAACAACCCCAGTAGAAATAAGGAAGAGAAAAACAGTTAAAGCAGTACTGAGAAACAGGAACAGTCTTCCCTGCAGCCAGAACTGTTCAGGCACTATCTGTGCCAAGTCCTCACGTGTGCGCTATCAATCTCTCCTGCTCCTGGAAAAATCAACAGGCTGCACCTCCCCCTCTCTCTGTAACTGTATCATATACATCCATCAGCTTTGAAGTAACTGACCCTGCAGCCAAAAAACATGTGGTCATATTTCTGCTTATAGCTTTTGTCCTCACTTTTGTTACTCTTTGTACACACTTTGTTCTCATACTTTGCACTGTGTGTGTTTGAGCCCTGCTCTGAGCACTGGTATAAATTCCTTCACGGCATATAGCGAGCCCCCGTCTCAGATGAAACATGTCACACGGGTATGTGCTGTATAAAGTCTCAGCACATGCACTTCAGCACAGGTCCTCTACAGGTCAACAAATACAATACTATGGTGTATGCATAATCCCAAATCATGCCTGGTGGTGTACTCATAATATTGGAATTCTACGTAATCTGCTTTAGCAAGTTCAAACATTTTACGTAAAATATACAGTGCTAAACTTATTAAGATGATGCCTTCTTAAACAGCCTTCTGTGTTTCTCTCAATCTTTTACGAGAAAAAGCCTAAAGGTAGCAGACTGTCTGGCTCGCTCGCAGACTAGTGATTACAACAGTCAGATACATTATTATTAACGTCAGGCTTTTCAACAAAACAAGATTAATTTATTCAGTAATGAATAAATATGTACTGTTTCTGACTATTTCTGGCTGATCTGTTACACACACATATATATTTGTCCTTTTTGTTTGAACTTACCTCAAAGACTAGAACTAGACAAAGTGTAAACACATGCCCAATCTTGAGAACACTGAAATGATCAGAATAAGTCTGTTTAAAATGTTCTTTAAATCATACCAGAGTACTCCCTGGCAAGGTACCTTGTGATTCCACTTGGTTGAATAAAGCATTTTTAGCTCTGAAGTTGATGGTCTTATTTACTGTAGGATAGGGTCTTTAAAATTCTTGTTTGTTTCTGTTAATATGTAAAGACACACCTTTTATTTGAGGTACACTCTCCATAAACCCCAGGTCAATGACAGAGAAGAATGAGTTATAGTTACAATTACAGACAATAAAAAGAAGTATGTTTCATTTCTTACAAATGTTTAAAACTTTGAGGTTCTGTTTAGCTTTTTTTATGTTGCAGTTTTGTACAATTTCACGTGGTTACTTTTGTTATTTCCAGGCGGGCGCATAAACAGCAGAGATGTGTGGATGTACAACTCACAGCTCAACCTTTGGATCCGAGTGGCCTCACTAAACAAAGGTCGCTGGAGACACAAGATGGGGGTTCTCCTGGGCAAGGTTTGTACTTGTATTTACATTTTTGAAGTTCTCTGTGTGTGGCCTAACACAATGCAGTTTGATAGCTTTGTCATGAATGCAGCTATGGCCTTCAGAAGTTGTGGAAAGTGACAATGGTGTGAACTATTATTTTGAGCACCTGTTATTACCATTAAAACTCATATAAAATTAAGGAAACATCTCAACTTTAAAAAAAAAAAGAAAGAAAGAAATCTTTACTCACCTGTATTGTGAAATTCACATATTTCACAATGATTTGTTTGGCTCGTTTTACTGGTAGACAACAAGGATATGTTTGAAGAAGATGCTTCTATTACACAGAGACTTGGACATAAATGCACGTTGTTGACTAACAAGAGAAAGTACTAGATTTTAGTGGTTTAAACAGAAAACTCCTCATATGTATGATATTTTAATCAGTTAAGCAGGAGTAGGATCATTATGCCTTGGCTCTACTATTTGCAGTTTGCAGAGTGTTTCACATCATCTTTACACTGTGTAGTTACTTACTAGTCACTTACTACATTATAGTAGATACCGCAAAATAGACTGTACATACTTGTGAACATTTATTATTAGAATGACAGGCTAATACACTTGTTTGTCTTTAAAAATAACTGACATAAAAAGCCCTAGGCATTTTGTCTTGAACATGAGGACTGAAGACATGATACCGCTGAATGCTGATAATAGCCCAGAGAGAGATTTTGTGAGCCTTTCCTGAGCTGTAATTACATGTCAGGTAGCAGGCAGCACATAAACAGATGTGGAGCAGCCCCATGCTTTAAGAGCATGCCTGTGGACACAAACCTATGGCACACAGAGGACATACTTCAGCAGCCTGCATCTCACTGGTTAAGTTGTAATTACATTTTGCATATTGTTGAAAGAGTTCTTCGTGTCTGGCGCCACAAGCCAACAAAGTCTCTACAGGTCAAACCATATCCACAGGCATTTTCCTCAACACTCACGCCTTGGAGCTGTGAGTGAGTATGCATGCACGTCTTGAAAAACACACATCCCTAGAGAGGCCCTGGTGTGCATCTACTTCCTGTGTCTGTCCCACACATATGATTATCCTTTTTTTGTTTGGGTTTAGACATCTATAGGTTGAAATATACTGTCTAGTAAGGCTAAGACAGCATTTACTTTTGCTTCATTTGTTGAATGTTTTTTTACTCCTTTTCTCAAAATGCCAATCTTGTGGAGTGTGAATTGTCTGAATTAGGCTTTGGTCTTTGATTACAACAAAACAAGCCAGATCTCACAGATGATGCACGGGCATTTCTTAAGAAATCAACACTTCTTTACTTGAACCGCAGTCATTCAGTTAAAGTCATTTTCACTCTAACCTATAATTTCCTTTTTGCCTCAAAAGAGTTGCATATAATAAGCACACTGAGCCTGGTGCCTTTGTACTTAGACTTGGCTATTAACCTTCACCATCTAATGATGTACCTTTATACATTCTAATAATATCTATTAACTACATTGCTTAGTTGTTTTTTTTTGTTTTGTTTTTTTACAAGGGTTTAAGTCATACAAGGAAGCACAATGTGGTCTTCTGTAACAGTTACGTCTTCTGGGCTAGTGTTGTTTTGAGTGAGCTCAGCCAAACTAGGTCACTCGTTGTTTTCCTCTGTTATGACAGTGCCTGGTGACTGCCATTCTCATCTATCTCAAAGCATTTTGTTTTCTTTTCACTCTCCCAATGTAAAAAAAAACAAAAAACACTCCCAGTTAATAGTTTGAGTTTGTTTACTTTTTCTCCAGCTGGATGTAAAGGACATAGTTAACCATTTAGCTTTAGTAGATGTTTAAGGTCATAAAACAACAAGTGACAGTGCACCAAGTGCTTTATAGCCATGAATCATGGTGTAGCCTTTATGTTACAGCCACATACCACAAGCTGGTACTACTACAATTGTGGACTGTGTATTTAAGGACTTGTATGTCAACAGAACTATGCAGTAGTTAGAACATTGACAAATACTAACCTTTAGATCCTAAATTATTGTGATCTGACTGGTCAAAATAATTTTATTTGATAGTCTTTATTGTGATCTAACCGCTTCTGAGTGGGTGCTGCATGCAAATGTCCCATTTACTTCCTGAATTGTTTTCTTTGTCCTCCCCTCCTTCCTCCCTCCCTCTCTCTGTGTACTTCTGCGATTTGAAACAACAGGAACAGCCTCAAGGGTTTTCCCTTGTATCAGGCCAAGTTAATCATTATGGTCTTGTTCTTCATTAATTAAATATATAGCAATTCAGTTTATACATTTTATTTTAACTTTTTTACTTACAAAATCCAGTGTCCAAAACTGCAATACGGTCGAGTGTTTTCTAATGGTTTGGTGTCATGGCAGGTCTCTGTTTGCTGTTACCTGATAAACTGGTTCTATTAGCCTGACGTAAAAGTATTCATAGTTATGAACTATAAGGCTGAAAACAGGTGACTCATGAGTGTTTGCTGTGACGCTTGTTTTGTTTTATCCATGACATGTACAACGTTTTCTAGCATGTGTGCGAATATTGAGCTCACTGTAGGGACTTTGATTAATAACATGGGGGATATGGGTTAAAGTTAAGATTATGGTGTAGTTTAAGCAAGTCATGACTATAGTTAAGGTTAAGATCAGACTCCAGTCTCCAAAAAAAGTTGAAACCACAGCCTGTGTGTATCTAAACAGGTGTATGCTGTGGGGGGCTATGACGGCCAGAGCCGCCTGAGCAGTGTGGAGTGCTACGACTCTTTCTCCAACCGCTGGACTGAGGTGGCTCCTATGAAGGAGGCCGTCAGCTCTCCAGCCGTGGCCAGCTGTGCGGGGAAGCTTTATGTGATTGGAGGAGGGCCAGATGACAACACCTGTTCAGACAAGGTGAGACAGGGAAGTGTTTCTCCCACCAGTACAAAACTATCTAATGTTTATTTTTATTTTCAAAGTATAGCTAAATAGTGTTAGACTCAAATAACAGTTTTTGTCTGGAGGAACCTGTTTAAAAGTAATCTGGTTTATTGTTCCCATCACAGTGACAGTTGATCTGATAATTGTCCCTGGGCAGTTTCAGTTGGTTTTGTAATAAATGCATCCTATTCTTTTTCTTTCATCTGTCTAAAATAACTCTATAGCTATGACAAATTGAAAGCTTTCACTTAAAGTGGAAACATGTAATGTTTTGATTAACATTACATTAATACATTAATAAAAATAGGAAATGAAAGTTGGCAGGCTCTCTCTTATCCTCCATCGAAGCCTGTTATGTTTATATTCCAGACACAAAATCCCACAACAAGAACAGGCGTTATTTCTAAAACTCTGTCTGCCATAACATGCAAAAAGTCACGGCAACCCAGATATGCTGCCTTTTCTGTATAGACCTGTAGTTCTGGTCTAAGGATTTTAAAAATATATACTTTAATATGTGCAACCTTTTCAATGACTATCAAATATGAATGCTACAGGTCCAGTGCTATGATCCAGAGTCTAACACATGGCTGCTACGAGCTAACATACCAATCGCCAAGCGCTGCATCTCAGCGGTCTCTCTGAACAACGTCATCTACGTTTCTGGGGGCCTGACCAAGTCCATATTCTGCTATGATCCCAAAGAGGATTACTGGATGCATGTAGTTCACACCTTTAACAAACTGGTAATAATCAAATAACTATAGTAACCAAGGGAAGAGCTGTTTTTAAATTGTATTTCTTTTCATTGCAGGAGAGCTGTGGCATGTCTGTGTGTAATGGCAAGATCTTTATCCTTGGAGGCAGAGAGGAAAATGGTGAAGCAACAGACACCATTTTGTGTTATGACCCTTCAACAGGCATCATCACAGGAGTGGCAGCCATGCCCCGGCCCATCTCTTACCATGGTTGTGTAACCATTCACCGGTATAATGAGAAGTACCACAAGCCATAGCTGAAAATCTGACCTAAACAAGCACATGCTCTCACTCAAAAGCACACACTAGACTCTTCAAAATGCCAGAACCACTGAGATATTATGTATTCATACAGCATCATGTAGCAGTACTGAAAGAGGTGCTGTTGAATTGTACTCTTTCATCGTCAGTGGTTCAGGACAATAATCTTATTAAGTTATAGCTTTGGATGTGTAACTGCACAAGATTACTAAGTAACAAAAAATACATAACACTATGATAACTACACTTTAATTAGCCTTAATAGAGCTTGAAGAAAGACTAAATTCATAATGAACAAATAGTTTATTAAGAATGATACAGACTTAGTGACTATTTTTAGTGATCTCAGTGACGATTTTTAGTATATGGACAATCCATTTGAAAACTCAGAACCTCCAGCCTCACTGAGGCTCAGAGGCTGCACTGTCTCCAATTAATGATTAGTTGCAGAAGCTGGGGTTTAGATTGTGAGGATTCAGATCAGAAATAGATTAAAGGTAATGATCTTTTTAGGTTTAAACAAGATTTCAGCATTGAAACAGGAAAGCCAAATGAGAGACTTATGGGACCATTCATTTGACCACTTTTACTTCATATCTGGGAACACCGTTTGGTCATGTTTTTTAAATTGAATATACTAAACACTATACTACTTATATACTATCCCTTTAATTAATACCCTAACTCCTAAACCTAATGCCTTAATTAAGTAGTTACTAACTGTTCTTGATAAATGGTTTGTTCATTGTGAATTAAGTCTTTGTTCATGCTTTATTATGGCTAATTAAAGTATAGTTGTTATAGTGGCTGCTAAAAATCAAGTGTTATCAGGTATTCTAACTAAATATTGCCCATCATTGGGTAGTAAAACAACTTTAACCTATTAAAATATAGTTACTGAATTACATTGAATTACGTTTATGTCATGATCAAATATTGATTGAAAATAATGTTCATAATGACCAAAGATTGTGGTTGGCAGTCTATAACCTGCTTTTCCACATTTATGTTTAAAATCAACTCTTTTGTCTATGCCATTCAGTTACACTTCCCATGCAGTTTCACATTGACTGTTTATGCTGTATCTCCAATGATTTATATTTTTATATGTTATCATTATTGATATTATAACATGTTTTCTCTTTAATTTTTAAGTTATATTTTGTATAATTGAATGTTATTATATTTTACCTGACAGTAGAATTAGTAAGTATGCCTGTTTTATGTAACAGTCTAATTGTATTGGTGTATGGTATTGCGGGTTGTTTGTTAGTTCATAGGCCATAGCAGATCAAAACCCAAAGACTGCTCTGAAAAATGTGTGTACCTGTTTGAATTGATGTGGTGGATGGTTGTGACTTTTGTGACTTGTTGGAGTGGATGAGTTGGGGTGTAGCCGTAGCATGACTGCACTGTTAACAGCCTGGTTAAATACTTGGCTGTCAACAGTTTCCTCTGACGCTGGCACCGGTCATCTTTAGATGTAACCCGGGGTAACCGCTGATACCTCCAGTTGTGTATGTTGGATTGCATGTTTACTTGTCAGCTAACAGTGATGTGATTTATACCTCACTCCAGATGCGAACAACAACTCAACTGAAAGGCTTTATAGATGGCTCATGGTCAGTAAAAGTCACCTTTTTGCGGTGTTGCTAGATTAGAGATATTGCTGTGAATATATATGATTTTTATAATTTTTTTTACATATACTTCAAGTGTACTTCCTTTTTTACGTTTGTGTCTTTCTGTGAGAGCCCCAGTTGTGCACTTTGACAGAATCATGTTAAATGTTTAATAGTGTGGCAATTATTTAAGTTTCTTTGTAATTTGGTTTACTGTATCAGTAAAAAATGCCTTATTTTATTTGTGTAAAACAGGACCTGCCACCTCATCTTGTTTTGGCCATTGTGCTGTAGTATACTGGTTTTTCAGCCACAGCCTTTAAGACATTCTTATCCACAAAAAGCTGGGACCGCAAAGCCAGGATTTGACTGTCATACAGGCTTGTATGACATAATGGTTCTTTATTGGTCCAAAGTCTGTCAGTTCAGAAACACAACAGCAAACCTATGCTATGCAGGCTTATGAAAATAGCTTCACTGAGCAGCTAATAGTCAACAAGCATTCCCGAGAATGCATAGCTTTATGAATCTGGTTTTATCCAGGGGGCCAGCAAAATGTGGTGGCATGATGTAGAGCTTCATAGAAGGAAATAGTTAGGGTGATAATTAGACAGTTCAAGTGTATGTGTGTGCGTACTGTGCACATGTATAATTTCACTGAAAGGACGTGTTATTTTGTTGATTGTTTTTGTTATAATCATAGAGGCTCTCATAGTCTACATTACTCCTTGTTTTGTACCAGTTTAACAGTTGTTATTATTTTTTGGTTGCTTGTTGCGGTGAGTTTGGAAATGTGTGTGACAGATTTTTAAACCCAAAATAATGAGCATGCCTAAATTAAAACGACAGTGTGATTTATATTGGAAAAAATTAAATGATCTAAAAACTAATTAAGCCAAAGTATAATCAATTCTGTGCTATAACATGCTCTATACTTACATTAAAAAGTGTATTAAATATTTTCTTGTATGCCTTAATTAACAGTAGTCCATTGATTTTGAAAAGATTCATTTAAAATGTTTTGTCTTTTTGGGGGATTTTCATTGTTTCATCTGACCTTGAATGCTGTGTACAAAAGAGAACATGGATGATGCAGTGGTGTGTATTGAAAATAAAGTTTTCTAAACTACTTTTGTTTGTGTGGCTGAACCTTAATTAACACTACTTGGTAATGACCATGTATGGCCACAGTGGCCTTACAAGCCCAGTACTAGTTAAGGACTTAGGGCAGCCTATGGAAAAATGAATGTGAATTGAAATGAGTGTGCTGGCTGTTGGTTTGAAGAGACAGATCTGTCTCTTGTTGTCTCAAGACAACAAGAGAACAAACACCCCCTGAACCAAACTATTCCTATTGGTTTGAGAAACATTTCATTAAGTTGTCTCTTATGGTTTATGAGGCATTGTGTAAAACAGGCATGCTATGTGTTGCATTGAGCAATAGTTGGTGCCATGAAGACATCCACAAAGCCTTTTTAAGATACAATTTATCATTTGTGGTAATATACCACAGACGTTGTCTGATTCTGATCATTCATCTGAAATTATTCCCATACACACACAAAAACACTGTGTTTATGTGATTGGTCATTATACAGCTGACACTGCTATAAACACATGAGTTATGTCCATTATAAGTTCCTGGCAGCAGCAGTTTGGACTGTGGGTTCAACTCTGTGGAATAGTGGCCCCTAGTGGTGATAGTACTGAATGGTCTAGCTAGCTTATACCACTGGAGAGTTAGCATTATGACTTTGTAAGATCTTACTGTACAGCATCTACAGTGAGCTCCTGATCAATTAAAACACAGTTATTGTGAAACAGCGCTGCACCCAGCGGAGACACACACCGTGAGTATGACTGTAAAATACAACAATAAACTGCAAAGAATGGTGTGCTGTGTGCTAACATTAGCCCACGCTAGCTTAGAGCAACACCACGTTAGCGGTGTGTTCATACTAACTCAGCGCTTGTGCATTATTATACATTAATTTGTCAAAAAAAATGCCATATGCAATCGATAGTACGCTGGCGCGGGACTGTGAAATAAAAAAGTGCATGGTTTGGTTTACACCCCACACACGCTAGCTCGAAAAAAAAGCCTTGTTTATTTAATATATTCTGGCAACAGTGTCCGTCTCCATTCTATGTTCATGTTAGTTCTATTACTGTTGGGTGTGCATGGACACGGCTGTGATGCTGTGTTGTGACTTGTTATAAACATATACGCCTTTATTTAACCAGACAACCATGTCAGGAGTTAAAAGGAAAATTGAAGGCAATGATCCAGACTACGAGGACATTTCCCTTGTCCAGAACAATAAGAGAAACAAAACAGATGAACATAATGGTAAGTGATTGTTTGCCCCCACCCAGTGCATTAACAAATTCATAATAAGGATGCCTTCAACAATAACTTCATGCATGACTGGCAGCTCGGGAAGCAACCGTACTAAAGATTGAGAACATTATCCGGGAACAGTTTTCCATGGAGATGAAAAACAAAGAACATGAAATTGAGGTGATAAACCAGGTGAGCAAAACACACTCCTATTTTTTCAGTTTTCTGTTATTTTTTTAATAACATACTTCTACAGAATACATTTTAAACATTTAGCTCTAACTGTATTGCTTTGCAGCGTCTTCATGAAGCTAGGAGGATGATGGACAAGCTAAGAGCATGCATAGTGGCAAACTACTATGCAAGTGCTGGTCTATCTAAGAACCCTGAAGTAAGTGTTTTGCAAATGCAATTCTCTAACAAGCATGTACAGTGTACTATATGCAGGCATTTCTTCTGTGCCACAGCAGACCACAAAGAGTGACTCCACCATACTGAATCATCCAGCTATCAAAAAGTTCTTAGATTCACCGTCCAGGTCCTCATCTCCTCTTAACCAAGACTCAGAGACTCCTTCTTTGGGCCAGTCTGAGTCAGAGTCCCTCTCTCAGCAAGGAGATGGAGGTGAGAAGGATGGAGATGTTGCCTGGAGAGATGATAGCAACAGACAGGAGCGTAGACCTGGGCGAAACACTGGCAAGGTTGGGGCGTAAAACACAGCATTCAGTTTGAAGGATTATTTATAATGATTGCATAATTCGTTCCATTTTTGGTAGGATACTTTTGGAGTGCCTTCTTGTATTGGTGCTGAATCAAGAGTGACCTTCCACACTACAGGAGATGAGGCTTCTAGACTTTATGTGAAAAAGACCATTGTAGTAGGCAATGTATCAAAGTAAGTGAACTTTAAAATTTACATGATTTTGACCCCAGTAATACTAAAGTTCACATGCACTGGACACTGTAAAAAATAGGCACAATTCAGATTAGCATCTCTTACAGACTCTTGACAACATGCACAAGGCTTCTGTGCCTATAGGCATGTCTACAGTGAACGCAGTGTAAAACTGATGATTTAAAAAACTTTTTAAAATTCAAGTTAGTTTTAATTGTATCAGGCTAAATTGTTAAAGAGAAATCTCCAAATACAAAGGGCATAATGGTGAGCAAAGTTATTATATGATGTACTTGTGTGTGCATGCAAAGTAGATACAGTGGAAGCTTTTTGCTCAATATGTAAACTCTCATTTACATATTAGAATTGTGGTGGTAAATCAGGTTCCATTTTCACTTTAGCTTGTGGTTTAGTAAATAATTTAATTTGTGGCTTAGTAAATATGACCCTTAGAGTAGACTAGATACTGTACATTATGCATGTTGAGGATCTAATACAGGATTTCATTTGATTCTTTCCTGTGCCTGTGTCCTCATGAGCTGTCACATAAATTGAATTTGCTTCAAGTTCAGACTTGATACATGTTTATACATGTTCCTTCAGATGTGTTTTTCATCTGTAGTTGGTCCTGATGCTTGGGGGGGGTTTGGGTATCTAGTACATTGAGACCCTTGGTTGCCAAACATGTTTTTTCCAGGAAGCTTCACCTATGGGCTGTATTCTTAGAAATCTAAAGCACACATACATACCTGTATGTCATGTGTGGCCTGTTAGTAGCTGGGGAAAACAACAGAGTGAACTAGGATTTTGCCAGAAAACTTAACTAACCTTTATAGCATAATAATTTGGACAGTGTTAACTATTTCTTTGATTTCAGATACATTCCTCCAGATAAGAGAGAGGAAAATGACCAGTCAACACATAAGTGGATGGTGTATGTCAGAGGCTCCAGAAGAGAACCTAGTATTGACCATTTTGTCAAGAAAGTGTGGTTTTTTCTTCATCCTAGTTACAAGCCCAATGACCTTGTGGAAGTCAGGTTTGGTTATTTCTACTTTTTTGTCAAAGATACAAATAAACCCAGTATGCCTTTTATAACCATATTATTTATAGACATGTTTACTATTCCTATGACAGTAGTGTACTCCACCTCTTTTTCAAGCATGACTGGTCATGCCAAAGGCTATATGGATGTTGTCAGAGATTGAAAGGTATTCAGTTAAGCAACACTGGGTTGAACTTTCCAGTCTTGTACTTGAAAACAACAACACCACAGTCATAAAGGTCAATGCTGCCCTCTTTTGGATATGCTCTAACACAACTACTCCAAATAGTGAGCCAGTCCAGAAGTTAACAATTGTGTAGCAAACACTATATAAGGCACTGTAGGGGTTTTAATGCACAACTGTAATAAAAACTTTCTTTCTGCAATCATCCAGGCTCTGTTCAGTCAGGTGAACAACCTAGTCCCTCTTGCTCGTGCTATGTAAAGGTGGTGCTGGTCTGACTGGAAAGTATGCACCTTAGAGCAAAAAACTGCGACCCTAGTCCACAAGTTTTTTCATGTGTAAAAGTGTGTCCAAAGGGCATGTACATTAAAATAAACTAAAGCTTTTAGATCATAATTAAAGTTAAGAAAAGTGTTGAGCTGTTACCTCCTGAACATTTTAGTGGACAAAAAGGCAGGACCCAGCTTATTTGTAACTTAACTCTTTTGCTGCCTTTAAAAATAAATTAAGATTCATATATTTCTGCATGCTCATGGCCTCATACATTACCTTTTAATAAACTGAGATGAGTGTATTTCTGATTTCACATTTTCTAATGTGAAAATGTGAATAATACTAAGTTATAAGTTATGTATACAGCCATTGTACACGTGTCTGTCTGAATCTAAAATGACATTTATTACAACTCTTCTAATGTGTCTTTACAGTGAACCTCCATTTCATTTGACACGTCGGGGCTGGGGTGAATTTCCTGTGAGAATTCAGATTCACTTCAAAGACCCTCGTAACAAACGTATTGACATCATACACCAGTTAAAGGTAATAGTTTTAATAAACCATGCAAGAATCACACATTTTGGCAGAAGAATGGTCCACACTAATTCATACGATTGACACAGCCCGTCTTTCTATTCTGCAGTTGGATCGAACCTACACTGGTCTTCAGACTTTAGGAGCAGAAACTGTAGGTTATCAGTGTCAAAGTGTATGACACATTCTTTGCTTTGCTTTCTGCTTTATTGATTTGACTCTGTGCTTGGTGCAGGTGGTTGATGTGGAGCTTCATAGAGACTCTCTTGGGGAGGACTTTATCCCTCAACCTTCATCATCCAAAATGGCTCCCAGGGCATCAAGTCCTATCACTGGGACATCCCTGACCCCAACGCACGGACCGTCAAGTTCTCCCATCTCACATGAACCCATTGGAGAGAAAGGTAAAGAAGATCTTACTTTAACCTTTTCTGTGTGGATTGTGTGAAACTTGATTTACTGCATGATTTATGTTAGATGTGTTTAAGGCATTGTAACAAATGTAGTTTTTATTTAGGCTTCAATCTTGCTGCTGGAGAACGCACACCAACACGACCTAAAACCAGTGAGAGGGTCCCTCTGGGTTCCCAGTGTACCTCTGCCTTTCAACCAATCACAACAAGCTGTAAAATTGTCCCTCAAGGACAACCACCCAGCCCCGCAGAATCCCCAGGAAAGTTATTTCAGCCAATTACAATGAGTTGTAAGATAGTTTCAGGTAAGAGTAGATTATTACAACAGTGATGTATGAGTGATTTAACATTTGTGCACAAGGGTTAAAATGTATTTTTCCTCCATCAGGTTCCCCAATCTCTACTCCAAGCCACTCACCACTACCTCGCACATCCACTGCATCCACCCCTATCCACAGTAAGCAGAGCTCCTCGTCCCTGCCCAATAATCCCTATGCTATTGTTGACAAACCAGGCCAGTTGGCTGGCATTGCTTCATCATCTGCAGTCCTTACAGGTACTGAACTGTCATTTATTGACCTGCTTTTCTTTTTACCGAATATTGTTATCAAATATACATTTAAGCTCATTCTTATTTTTCATTTGTAATGTTCATGGACATTATTCGTAACAAGACCACTAAACATTAGCTTTTTAAACACATTTTTCAATAAGAACAAGAATCACAATGCTCATCTTTCTCAGTGTTTTGCTCTTTTACATAAGGAGGAGGCATTAGATTCAGTAACAACCAGTCAAGCCAGGATTCTGTATTTACGTTATTATCTAGTATCACCTTTCTTATTATTGCCCATATTTTGCCCACTCTGTCCCTCCCACACATCTATGCACTGCACCAGAGATGAGAGTGCTTTTAAGTGCGTTTCAGGAAGCTAGATGGTACTGTTGTGGGTGTTGTAGCTGATTCACTGAACATCATCTCTAATTATACAGTATTTTATATCTGAAGTTTTTCAGGTACTATTGGGACTAATCCCCTTCAGTTCACTAAATGCTCAGAAATTCCACATGAGAGCAAGTATTTGTTGAGATATTTTAACAAATTGTCTGTTCACAGCCTCTACAGGAAGTCCTTCGTCCAAATCAGTTACTCAGGGAACTCGATCTCCTGGACCCAAAGTTCACACTGGCACCTTACTGTCATCAGGAGTAAAGGTGAAATGAACCCTAATGATGCCCAGAGCTCTTTGTAGCATCTGTATCTTTGAAAACATTCTGGTATTAATAGATCTGACACTGACATTTTTAGCTCATGTGCTGGTGCATTGGCAGTGCATTTAAATAGGGCAACCTTCTGTTTATACGAAGGGGAAGGGAGTCTTCAGACAGACACAGTTCTCGCTTCACTTTCTGATACGATTTCTTCATTTGCTGCCATCTTTTCCGTCCTTTTTCACACCTAATTGAGACACATTAATAATACATTTCAAATGATTATGTGCCACCTGGCGATTATTATTTAATTACATTTTTTATGTAAAATTGGACTGGCCTAGTTGGACGTAGATGAAATTGTAAATACACTTTAAAAATTCAGTTTTATGCAAATCATCTAAGTTCTACAAACTCTGATCATATCTTGTTGAAACATGTTAGATCTTTCCTCATTTCAAAATGCACTTGGGGATATGCTTTATCATGAATGCTTTTGAACAGAATTTGAACCTCTTTTTAACCCCTTGTGTTAATGTGCAGGTCATCATAAAGCAGGAGCCTGGGGAAGTCTCCATGCAGCAGCAGCAGATGGTCTCCACGGCAACCAGCCCACAGCAACAGTCCCCAGCTCCAGCAGCACACCAGCTCGTGGCTGTGAAAGGAGGTCACATGATATCAATGTCAGCGCAGAAACAGTCTGGAACGCCAACCACTGGCAAGGTTTGACAATTCAGTTCTCAGTTTTATATGATAAGAACTGCACTGATTTTGGAAAAAAGCTGTGTCTTTTCTATTGCTTATAAGGGATTTAGCCTTTAAAAAGCCATAATGAGGCCCACAAGTTTATTATTGAAGTAACAATCACAAATTAACTTCACTTTTGTAAAAATGAAAGCAGGTGCTTTCTACACTCAGGGTGCACGCGCATCTGTTGTGTTGATAAACAAATAATCCAATGCTAGATTATATTTGAGATATATGTTTAAAAAGTAGGATTCAGTTTGGTGTGCATATTGCAAACAACTTCAACAACATTAACATGTATACTGATGATATGATAAACAATACAAGAATCCCATGCATTTCAACACATGTTCACAGAAGTCTAAACCACAGGTACTGCCAACATTTTTTTGTCAAAAGATCAGATATTTTTCTCTTTCTTATTAGATGGTGCCTTTGCAATGTGGTAACTGCGACAACTCAACTTGTGATTTAATTTCTATTGGTAAATGGTAAACGGTCACATTTTTATATAGATCTTTTCCACCTTCAAGGCACTCAAAGCGCTTTACATCAAAAAACCACTCACCTATTCACACACACACTCACAGTGTACCCCCAGTGTGCGCAGACACTCAGGGCAAGTTGGGTTAAGTGTCTTGCCCAAGGACATAACGGCAGTCATCTGTGGGAGGTGGAATCACACCAGCCAACCTGTGGGTCAGTAGATCTGACCACACATGTTTATGTTAAGAGCGGGATTCAAACCACCAACCTTCAGACCAGTGGGTAACCACTCTAGCAGAGCTCCTGTTGCAGTCCTAATACACACCACCAAGCAGTTTTATGGGTGAACATATTTATTTTTATCTGATACTGTGTTTTAGATGATGGGCATTCCTGTAAGCTCCACACTCCAGTCTGCAGTCAAACAGGTGGCTATCAGCAGCGGACAGCTTCTGGTAACTAAAGGAGGCTCCCCAGCCTCCAAAGTGATTGGTGGAAAACAGGTTTTGGCCCAAGGTGTTGCCAAGGCCATTGTCAGTGGGTCAACAGGGCTCTCTGGTCAACAGGCTGGTGTCAAAGCAACTGGAAGTGGCAAAAGTGGAGGTCAGGGATTTACACAAGTAGATTTATGAAGTACAACGTTTACTTTGTAATAACGCTTTTCATATTTTCCTGTTTTAGTTATGGCTACTCTTCAGTTACCTGCCAACAATCTAGCAAATCTGGCAAACCTTCCTCCAGGCACCAAGCTTTATCTCACAACCAACAGCAAAAATCCCTCAGGAAAAGGAAAGCTGCTTCTCATCCCACAAGGAGCTATTCTGCGTGCTTCCAGCGCAGGTGAGATATTTAAACTCAAATGCTTTTATTCCTTTAATTAATTAATAACAAAGTTTTCATTAATTATACAAAGTGTGAATATGCCAAGTCTACAGTCCCATGTAGCTTTGGCATGTTAGTGAAGTTGTAATGTAGTCAAAACATATTGAGAAGACTGAATCTTGTGTCTCTTATGTAGGTCAGCAGTCTCAAAGCAGCTCAACCGCTGGCTCTGGGGGCACACAGAGTTCCTCTTCTTCTTCTACTAGTCTACCATCCAACCTCTCCTACACGTCGTACATCCTTAAACAGACCCCACAAGTGAGACAGTCCTCTGTTTTACACTTTATAGCATGACATTTGAAATTTAAAAAGTCACTGAAACCACTTTTTTTCTATTTTTCTTTGTTTTTTTGCATGACATTCTGCAGTTCTGCAATTTACACCCAGTGCCTTAATTACATTTGTTCATTAAACAGTACTGATATTGCATTCTACTTGAGATCTGTGCTTTCATGGCTATTAGGGAGTGTAGTGAAATTGTGCTACATTGTAAATATTTTAACAGCATACAGCTTGATATGTGATAAATCTTGTATCTGTCTCTTATTTGCAGTTAAAAGGAAGTGGGGGTGTATCTTGCTGCACAAATATTATTATTTTATTATTTTTTTTATTAAATCATATTTAAATATGTTTGTGCTGTTCCTAGGGCACATTTCTGGTTGGACAGCCATCACAGAGCTCAAAGCAGACTGGAAGCTCTGGTTCAGCTGGTCATTCAGCTTCATCTTCACCCAGTGGTTCTCCACAGGCCATCCGGGTCACAGCTGGGCAGAAAGCTGCCATTTTAGCTCAGGTCTGGATTAACAGCAACTTGCAAAATCTTAGTCAAATCTAAATATTGGTTTTTATAATTTTTACATATATTTTTTCTATTGTTGGCAGGTGGTTGGTGGTTCTCAAGGCACTCAGGTGAAGCTTTCTGATGGCTCTATGAAGACAGTTTCAGCAGCAGCAGGTCATTTGTCTAAACCAGGAACAACAACTTTGCGGATGACCGGAGGCATCATCACAGCTGCCAGTACCACTCCCAGCTCCAGCACAGCATCAGCAGTCAGTCAACAGCAGGCACGTTTCAAATCATCACAAATGACAGTAAATACAATATAAAAATTAAAATAAATAGTTATACAAATTGAAAATGATGAGTATCAAAAAGGTTCAAATAAACACGTGTATGCTAGGTGCAAATAAAAATGAATTCCGGTTATCTGTATTACATAAGGGTGAGTTGTTCAGCTGTATGGAGTATGGGATGAATGTAGTCCTGTAGTTTCTTTTTACTTAATGATTTGTCTAATGGCGCTTTTCTATTTCATGTGGGCAGGCGTCTGACGGTGGAAAGGCTACGTCGCATCAACACTCGCTCCTAATGGCAGCAAACCAAGCAGCAGTAATCAGTGCAGCTAAAAATGCCAGCACTGCAGCCGGGGGGAGCTTATCAAAAGCAGCAGTGACCACATTGGTCAAAGGGAACGCTAACACTGGAGCTAAGAGTGCACCTGGTCCAGCCACTGTAGGAGCAGCCACTAAAGCCATGACCAATACTCCTGTTGGGAGCAAGAGCAGTGGGCCGGGGGCAGTGGTCAGTGTGCCCAAAAGCAACAGTGCGTCACTCATCACTGCAGCTTCATTACTGAGCGGACCGGCAGCAGGGCCAGGGAAAACCACTGCTACTCTCTCAGGTGCATGAAGAACAGTCATGACTTTTATTTCAGACAGTCATTGATGCTAACATGAGTCTTTCTGCTCTGTTCTTAGGGATGTTGAAGATTCATGCTAGTGGTTCTGGCTCCCAACCAACGGTGCTGACTATCCCAGCCAACCAGCTCAAGCAGCTCGGTGTAGGCTCAGGATCAGGAGGACTTCAGACGTTACTCATGCCTGTAGGCAAAGGTAAATGAGCCGTGTCCAATCACTAGCTTAATTAATTTGCTGTATGTGTATATACTTGTATAAATCAAGGTATTTTGAGAAAAGTACACTCAAATCACACATCTAAAATATCTCATCCTGCTTCAAAGTGGACAGAAAGGGTGAAATAATGGTGCACTCACACGAAGCCAAACCATTTGTGCCATGCTTAGGCACAACTGTTGACTGGTAGTTGTTTAATGAAGTAACTCTAATATAATGAGGCAGATATGAGTACTCTCTGTGATATCCTGTCCTCTGTCAAGTTTTGGGTTTAAAAACATTGTAGAGTGTGTCCAAGATAACCATGGATCATCAGCAGTGTTGTTTTGAGTAGATGTTCAATGAGCAATGTTTTTCTCATGAGTAACATCAGCACACATGAAAGGGCCTGTGTAGTAACAGTTGTATGCATTATGTATGCATGCACAACCATCATGTTGTTTTTGCCCACCTCCTCAACTGTGCCTACAGCATACCATGCCTGGGCAATGATAGATTATACTTGCACAGGACAAGCAAACAGAGGATTTCTGTGCTTGGGTGAGGTTAGAATGGGTTAATGAGACCACACCCTAAGTTTCCTTGTTGTTCTGCTCATTCAGTTGTTTTAATTGATGTATGTGTGATTGATAGGGAATTGATCCATCATGTATTTTGTGTGTGTTTCCTATGTGCATTTAGTACTATATAAAGGCCCAGTGTCCAGTTCTTCTCCCCCTTCCTCCTCTTCTTCAGCAGCGGGAGTCTCCCAAAGCCCTGGCAGCCAGGTGCCCCCCTCCCTTGCCCTGCCTCTGGCACAAGGTGAGAGGGGCTAATCCCTACTCCACCTTGATTTGCATCAGTTTTTATATTCAGAGCTCTATTTAGAAAACTGTGATACTCATTTAGACTTGAAGTGTAATTTATGTCTCTTACACATGTCTAATTGTTTTTGCAGTAAAAACTGAACCTGGCTCAGGCTCTGCTGGTCCATCAACACCTGTCACCTCTTCCTTACAAATGTCCATCACTGCACCTTCAACTGCTGTCAAACAAGAGCAAGGGCTTGATACCCCACACAACCTCATTGAGTAAGCTTTTTTTCTAGTTTTCTAGTTTATTCACAATGTACTAGTTTATGACATTTGAATGTATTTATCTTGTATAGCACTGAGCACATTGAGACCATGATGCAGCTTCTGACTGCAGTAGTGAAGAAGTTTCCTCTCATTGTACCAAATAAAAGTAAGTCAGTCTTCAGTACAATGGCAACATGTTTCAGGTTTCAGGTTTGTTAAAAGTGAATGTGTATGGTATCCTAAAATTGATCTGTCTTAATTTCAGATGAAGACTCCCATCCATTTTGTGCCTCCTCTACTGAACAGTATTATTCGTGGAATATTGGCAAGCGGCGGGCTTCAGAGGTACTTCAGAGCTTCAGAGGTCTTTCAGTAAATTTCAAACTCTCCTTGTATCTTCCAATGTCAACTGTCATAGTGCTGAAAATGTTAAAAACATTGGATGCCTGCTATATCTTCAGGACTTTCTCACAGTAGGTATTTGTTACATGGCTGATAATATGCTTTGTCTGCATTTTTTAGTTTTGCGTAATCGGTTTTCATGCTGTGAGCTGAATCTGCAGTTTGTGCTTACCTCACGTTTTCTGTCTTACGTGTGCTTGTTCTCTTCTCATCTCCCTAATATCTTCATCAATACTTTGTAAAGACTAGCCCATCACTTTGCTGTCATCTTTTGCAATTGCTCTCTTGTCAGGTTATTTATGTGTAAGGGAGTTATTCGGGATGTATTCCAGCACAGCAGCATAGAGCAGCTTTAGAGACTATACCGGCATGATGTATCTTGACGGTTTACCCACTTGTGTCACTTAGCTTCAGCGAGCAGTGGCAGTGAAGCGGGTTGTGCAGGATGTGTTGGACCGCTCTCCGCGCCTCCAGGCTTTGACTCCTCCCAAAACCAGAGAAGTGGTGCAGTGGTGCCGACAGAGGGGATACACACCACCTGACCCCGAACCCCAGCGCAAGAATGATGATGAGTCTATAGAGGACATCCTTACGCAGATAGACAGTGAGCCAGGTGAGCCACTGTATGCTATATAGACCACTGTTAGGCTTAGGGCTGGGCAGTAGAATGAGAAAAGTCGAAGTATGACCTCGTACCTGTGACAGTTTGATACTGTGAGTCACTGTTTCTCTGTTGAATGCAACTCTCTTCTCATAGACTCTTTCCCACTCACTACTCTTTTTGATAAGCTCTGAATGAGTAACAGATATATTCCAATCCCAGTGAAATTTCAGAAAAAGCACATTACTCTATTTACTTCTTAAAGGCAATAGAACATCACTATTATTACAATAAATGTACATGAATCAAGATTTTTTTTTTTTTAAATTGCCATATTGCCCACTTGGGCTTAAGTTTTAACACGTGTACAGGGAAAAAGTATAGAAATAACTTAAATTATTTAATAAATTCAGCAGTTTGCACTGTAGTTTATACTGTACTCCTCAGTTTTCAGTAGTTTATACAATCAATCAATAATTTTTCCAGCCAGTGCTTTGTGGGCGTAGTGCTGCTACCAGTTGATCCCATAATGCATTAGCAATCCACTAATGTACAAGGCCACGGAGCACACAGCTTCCATTAGATTCTCATTACTTCCATTTAGCGTCTAGTAAATCGTGATTCTCAGAACACCAATAGATGGTCCTCTTCAGTAACAGTCAACCTAAGCCTTTTTAATTTTGCTGAAACTGGACAAATGTTATCTGCACACTATCATTTCTGGTGTGAAAATGGTTTACCCCCAGAGTGCCCCTCTACGTTGAGTGGTTCAGAGGAGCTGCTGCAGCGATTGGAGCAGATGCAGGCGGTGCTGAAGACTGAGCCAGAGGAGGTGGATGACGAGATCGTGGACATCATCACTGTAACTCCGCCGTGCCACAAACTCAAGGTCAAAGAGGAGGAGCAAGAGACAGACTCAGAGCCCAAATTCTTTCTGGGATCAAGCGCATCAGACCAGTTCGTCAGTGAAACAGCTCAGCAGGTTGGAATGATGAAGTACATTACAGTTTGTGCTAGATAATGACCTAATTTTGGCGTAGTTCTAAATTTGACAAAAGCTGCTGTCATTGTGCGGTGGAATTTAAATACAGAAATTACTCCTTTTTATGTCAAGGCATCAAAATATATGTTGTCTTTTCCTAATTTTGAAATAAATTCCTTTTTGTTTATTGCAGATTGGATTGAGCTTCCAGCCAGTGGAGGTTGACAAAAATGTGTTTGGTCCAGTAATTGAAGCCATGATTTTGAAGGTCAGTTTTGTTAATTGTGTTAGAAAAGAAAAACATCTCTCTTTCTTACTTCCCGTTCACTGAAGGATATGAATTAATATTTTGATGTATTGTTTAATTTTAAGTTTGCTTTTGGAGAGGAGAGTGTTCTGACCATGCTTGTTCCTTCAGGCGACAGAGCAGTTTGCTAGTGACATCCTGAGAGAAGCTTTGGCAGTGGCCTGTGTCAAATCCTCTCAAAACAGGTACATGTTTTTTCAATCCTATTCAAGTTTTTGCCCATGTGTTTGATACATACATTGCATTATATAAAGTTGTACCATGTAACTGTTCTGACAGGGCGTTTCCCACCAGTTTGCCACTATGGAGATTAGGGATGGGCATGATTAGTCGACTACTCGATAATTGATTATTAAGAATTTCGTTGATTACATTCATTTCTAATCGACAAACCGAATGTTAGGTTGCTGTACCTTGATACGAAGCTGCGTCTGACAGCGCAAACACTGGAATTGCGGCCTCAATCCCATGTTTCGGCTCTGGCACCACCTTGGAGATCACTGTACCACTCAGTGAGTGCATTTACATGCACATCAGTATCCCGGTTTTGTCACGGTGCATGTATACGCAGTATCCCAGTTACTGCAGCATAAAGAGCTGTGCTAAACCTCCACACGGATGATCTTTGAAAACATCGCGACACACAGAACAGACTTACCTTCAACATCAACATCCCTCTGTCATAGAAAGAACACTTATATTCCACTGAGTCGTGTCCTTTAGTCCGACAGAAGCTGACCACATCAGCGCACAAGAGTGTTTTTTTTTCCTCCTTCCCCCCCTTAGTTTCTGCAAATTAGCCATGCGGTTTTAAGTTTTGTTTCTGTAAGACTTGCGCAAAACTACATTAAACACATTATAATGTCAAACGGGCTGATGTGGCTCTGTAGTGGTTATGGTTTATTTGTTAAAGTTGAGTTTATTTCTGCAGATTAATAAAAGTAATAATGATGGTACTTATTATTTAAAAACATTAATGATTAATCGAAAATCGATCGTTAATTCTCCTGACGATCAATTACAAATCACAAATGGTCCACAGTATGGCATTAAATTTATCCATCCTGAATTTATTTAATTACAGGTGTTAGTGTCCAAAATACCTTGAAAAATGTGGTCTTGGAGATGGATACATTTTATAGCTTTACAGTGGAACATTGTATCATCTTGAAGACAAGCTAGTGGCAGAAAAGGTATATAGTGCATCTATTTACAGGTTTATACATTATTTAATATTAGGGTGGTTGCCAAAGCAATTACTATTAGTTAATTAGTAGTTCAGAACAAAATATTATAAATTTTTTATGGTGGAAAGTACTCAAAATGGAGCCTATAACAAGACACTGAAACCTATGAAATAACAAATAGAAATTGTCATACTGTTCTTAGAAAAAAAAAAAACAGCTGTTTTATAGGGAAGTGACTTCATCATGATTGTTTTTTTTTGTTTTGTTTTGTTTTTCAGGTCTCCCAGAGAAATCACTGCCATGAACGTCCATCAGGCCATCAGCAGCATTCCCACATGCGACTTCCTCTCCAACATGCATATGGGCTTTCTAATGAAGAACAATTAACACAATTAAAATCCTCACTGCATTTTTTTTTTTTTTTTTCAATTCTCCAGCACAAATTCAAGTATTAGAAATAGGAGTAGTCCATATATCGCTGTAATGCTGTTTATAAACACTGTAGTTTAAAGGGCTCACTTTGGACCATACCTGCCACTGACCTTATGGATACTTTAATATGTAAGACTTTTCATATAGAAGCAAAGCATATTTTGAGAGGTGCTTTTGTTTACATTTATTACAGTATTTAACATCAGTCACTTTCAGACAAAATCATTGAGCTATGGAGCTTAAATTACTTATATGCAACATAATTACTAATATTGACCTCTTTCAAACCAGAAATATGCCATTGTGTGTTGGGAAAACGTGAATAAACTGACACATTCTGAAAACCAATCCTGCTGGACACAAATGAAATCATTTAAACTTACATCAAAAACAAGTACCTCAATCGTGTGTTTTCTGAATACAAATAGAATACCTTCTGACCCTTTTATGAAATACTGTTGTAGAGACTGTTGAAGTAACTGACAAGAGAAATATTTATTTTATTAAGAAGTCTGGACCAGTGGCCAGATGAAAGTGCTTTTAAATGTTCAAATGACCTTAATGTATTTATCATGGGCGCACAGTGTTTGACCAATTTGATGTGGAAGGTGTTTTATATGTATCTATGGACTGCAGTGATGCAACAGTATGAATCTGTGTGGATGTTGTCACTGTGTCTTTATCTTGGTGTGTGTAATTGTAACTGAGTATACTGGGTTATGTGATGTTAATGTCTGATTGTAATGTGCCTGGAATGAGCTTTGGTGAGATCATGTCTATTGTGAAGATGCCCAAATGTTGTAATTTCATGTTTTAGTGCAAACCAAAAATAACTAATATTCTTGTAATAAAAGAAAATAACCTCCTCCGGATTGTCATTGGGTTTTACATTATGTTTATTCTAATGGCACCAGTATCTGAATTTGTCAAAGGGAATTATTTATGAATTTAAAATACACATATTTTCACTTTGTAAAAAGACACATTTTTAAATATATTATAATTTCTGTGCTTTCGTATTAGCTTGAACATTATAATAGCAAAACCTATTGTTGATAACTTACTTAAAATTTCAAGCATATTTCGAGCAACATCAAAATAATAACTTAATGCATTCTGACACATGACTTATTTATCATTCCAGCTCTTGCTTAGAACATACTCTAATTGCTTTTTAAAGTGCACGCACACTAATTTACAAGTAACTAATGGAAAAAACTACGGGAGTCATGCATATTCTTATCCATTATCCAACCTTAAATTTGCACTGTGCAACTTTTCTGGTAGAGGACCCACCAGTTACTTGCCTCCATGAAGATGTTATTGCTTTACCTCTATTATTGCAAAGTATGGCATTAAACCTTTCGATCTCCATAGAAACAAGGAAGAGATGACTTCACTCACAGTAAGAAAGGTTTTTAAAGGTATTTTTGATCATCATCATAATCAAATAAATGCATCTTGTACAAGTTTATATTGTGGAACTTTACAGGCAAAGGATCTCCATGGTAGTGGTCCCCCAACCTGAAAAGCTGCGCAGTGCACCTTTAAATTTTTCACGACGGGCCACAAAAATCCTTGCATAGTTTCTTCTGTCCTGCAATTAATTTAAATAAAAACATTTTGCTTTGTCACTTTCAATCCTTGAACATCAGATGTTGAAGACCCTGGATCCGCTCTGAAAGATCGCAGTAGGGTTGGGGGGGGGTTTGGTCTTCACCAGATGGTCCTGCAAAGTGAAAGTAAACACAAAAACAAGAACTCACAGATGACGAGCAGTAGAGAGGCTAAGTGTAGAGGATGCGTGTAATGAGAGGAGACTGGTGGGACTGAGCCATCAAAGAGAATCGTGTTCACTGTCAGGAATGAGACACACAAATGGATAGCTTTCTGGTCACTTATTGCTTGTGCTGATGGCAGCTCTTCTCAAAAGCCTGACAGAAATCATGCTGAACTATACTGCACCTTGGAAAAAGCACTTACACACTAATGTACAGAACTGAATACTTGTCAGGGGGGAGGATTTATTAGGAGTTAATTTGTGAAGCTGGGATCAAATAGAGGGGAACAATGGTAAACATGTGTAGTACACGTTTGAATTATAGGTGTGTTATAACTTGGTTAGTTGAGGATATGAAACCTACTTGTTTCAACAGAGATGTTATTGCTGTCTTTGCCACCAGGCCAAATTTCAGGTCAAATCTGTGGAAAGGCGATCACTCAACAATAATAATGCCAGTTTCAATGTATATAACAACCTGTAATTGATTAATTCCAAAGCAATTAAATCCATAACATTTTCAAACGTAGATAAGTAGAAAAATAACACAGTGCACCTTTATTTGTAATGTAAGGTAATATTTAAAAGTAATACGCTATAACACCCAAATGAGACAACGGGTAGACAATGCCTAAAATTTACAAGTTGTTTTTAAAGGTCCTGTATTACACAACTGACTAACAATTGACTCTTGGGAGCTTTAAGCCATGTCCTCAAAAATACCTGGACATATATAAATACCTTGTGTTTTGTTTCACTCGCACATGTTTGAGTAACCCTTTATTATTCAGTCTGCTTACATTTGCCAAGTTCAAAATGTTCTGTTCCACTTTGTGATGTGGTGTAGTGGTAGTTTTCATATTAACAGCTCATTTGAACTTTTTCAGCAGGCAATTCCAGGACTGAAGTCATCCAAATTATTTTATTTTGATGTGTACGGAGTAGAACACTTCCTGCACAACCGCATGACATCACAAGGCGGAACAGGTTTGAGAGAAGAACAATATTATAACATGGATCACAAAATAGCGTAGCTTAATATGAGCCTTTTAAGTTATTGTATCAAAGTAAAAGTAAAAGTTTGCTACATAAATATGAGTACACCATTTTATGATAGAGTTACTGAGTTATAGCTATAGCTGTAACGCTGAGGCCCACTTTGTAAATAACTATAGCACATAATATTATTGCTGTAAAATAAACTGTAGGTATATGTTGCTATATATGAAGCTACTCCATGATTTCTGGACCTGTAAGTACAGTTGCCAAAATCACTACAAGATCTTGAATTCAAGTTTAGGTCTCTGCATTGTATCTTTACCATGGTTGACAGATGACATGGTAGAAATCCACAATCTCTTTGCTTTTTAGCTTTCTGTCAGTGAACATCACAAACAAAAAAACCCTGTTCAGGACGGGTTAGATATTGATCCAGAGATCCACTTAAAAGCCAGTGCACTCATCTAATTATATAGCTGCTTTACATGTATTTTTGTCTGCTAAAAGTGACTCAAATGTGTCCTATAAAGCAATGTTTACACTAATATTATAACTGGCTGTCAAGAAACTATCCATTACCAGCTTTCATGGGTAATTTGTATTCCTCCACTGGCAGTAATGAGCTTCGGAATAAAAATGGGGCCAGGCTATTTCAGATGACTTGCATATGTCTGGTGCTGAGCTTGGAAACTCTTAGTGAGACAGGTCCTTAGAGATGGTCGGTGCAGTGTCCCTGTGCTTTTCAATATGAGACTGCAGCTCTGTGGGTGGCGAGCACATAGATGTTGGTGTATGTGAGAATGAACCTGTTCACCCCTTCTCCCTCACCCTCCTCCTCCCTCTTTCCTCACACTACAATACAGCAGCTCTTCTCAAATAAGATTCAGCGCCAAAAAGACTGCAACCGTGTGCAACAAGGCTCTTAAACAGGTAATCCATCACGCGCTGCACTCTGGCCCCCACCTCCCCCTGTGCAGTGGCTTTCTCATCCTCGCTTATCTGTCTTCACATCTTACTCAACTTCCACTTTTTTCTCCCATCAGAGACATCAGAGCGTGCACATGAGATGAAAAGAGGTGCAGGAACAGAAGTGTAATTTGTCCATGACTGAGGCAAATATAGCTGAGTCTACATTTCATATATTTCTAAACAAGCTGTGCTTTGGTCCATTTCAATATCCCCTATGTAACCCCTATTAGAGCAGACTTGTAACTCTTTAACATTTCATTATATAACCCCACAGTTTAATATACTAGTAGTAGGTTACTTCTGTAGCCAAAGTTGCCATGGGTAAAGTGACTGGCATCAAGCCCTGCCACACACTCATAGGCAGTGTATGTTTAGTGTCTTGCCCAAAGACACGCCAACTGTACGTTTATATAATAAATACATATCTGTGATTAAACACTGATAGGGGGGATTGTATTTAAATTTATTTACTGGCTCATTATACTTCATTACATTATTACAGACTCAATCATGGGATACACTCAAAAGCATCTCTAAATTTTGTTAACTTCATCAAAACACAACAAAAGTGAAGTATTTTGCCCAAGGACACAACAGGAATATGCAATGCTGGGAGCTGTAAAATCAAACTATGAACTTTCCAGTTTGTGGAAGATAATTTCTAACCAGTTTACTGCCTCTTTATTGTAGAACCTACTTCTACCAAAACCATCCTCTCCTCTTTGTACCAGAGTCTGCCTGTTTGGCAAAAGACACTCTTCTGAAGTCATGGACAGCGTGGGAACAAGGCAGAGATCCAAGAGAGAGAGAAAGAGAGAGATCCTGCTTTATGTGAAGACAACAGTCATTAGAACAAAGGAAACTACTGCATGTGAATTTTAGCTTGTTTAGTCCCCAGAGATTGCCTAAACCTTGTTATGTAGTATAAGCCACTACAAGATGCTGCTATTTTTACTCCACAAAATATATTCTTACAGTGTTCAAAAGTCATTATCTTTGCCTGAGGGACCAAAGTCTTAAATCACAAGGGAAAATCAGAAGGGAATGACTACAACAGAAAAAAGCTGCAAAGAACGAGTTTCCTGCATGCTCCCATCCAGTGCCTTTGCCTTGCTCATCCTGCGGATTACACAGCACCAGCCACACAAATCTCTCTCTCCCGGGAATCACCCATGTTAAGAGTCTTCAGTTTTGTCAGTCAGGCTTTTTTTAAAACCTGAACCTTTCAACTCACCTGGGGAGTTTAAAGCAAGATCAAAACAAGATCAAAAACAGCAATAACAAGAACAATGGAAATTCTTATGAGATATATTTCTGTTACCAGTATGTTAACCGAAAAAAAAAGGTTATTGAAAAAATATCACTTATGGGTAATTGACAAACGCTTTAGCTATGTTTGTGGATTTGAACTGCTATCTATATTCATATACTGTAAGGGATGCTGTGACATTACAAAATATTAACACCAAGGCTTTATTAGATTGTCTTACAGAATTTATTTACCCCTGAAGTTAAATGCAGATGGGTATTATAACTGCAAGTAAGGACTGCTGTCATGTGGATCTCCATTCTTTGAGAACGCAGCAGTCAGAAAACCAATGTTTCCATCTGGTAAATAAAAATAGCGATGGAATAATTTCTTCATAAATGTTTAGTGTCTGTGATTAGTTTGTTTCTACTCCGTGTAGTACATCACAGTCTATGAGATGCAGAACAGCTCTGATGATGAGATTGTCATGCCTCATTGTACAAATGTCAGCAAAGATAATTCTGTGAGGGATGACACGTATGAGATAGTACAATTCTGACACATACCATGTACTTTAAAGGTCCTATATTACACAACACTGACTGTTGTGAGCTTTACGCCATTATAATGTTTTTACCTCATCAAAAACACATCTGGAGTTGTGTTTTGTTTCATTAACACAAGTTTGAGAAATCCTTTATTATTAGTCAGTTTACATCCCAAATTCATGTAGTGGTAGTCCGCAAGTTGGCAACTACCTTTTACCTTTTGTTCAGTAGAGACTGGTAAATCCAGGACTGAAATTATCCAAATTATTCTAGTGAAGGTGTATGGAGTACTCAGTGGAGCACTTCCTGTATTACTACATGCCATCACAAAGTGGCACAGAAAAAAAAAACTCTCTACTAAATTTAAGAGTTTGTGTGTTGAACATGGGTGAATGAAACAAAACACAACTCCAGGTATGTTTTTGATGAGGAAACAACATTAGAACATAGATCAGAAAATAGTGTAATATGGGCCCTAATTCACTCAGATATTGTACCATGACTGTGGAGACCCTGATGCAAGCATTCAGTGTAGCAGTAATAGTAGTTGCAGTACAGCAGGCAGTTGTATAACAACAGTGGTTGCAGTGGGAATAGTAGTTTTAGAGGCAGTATTGTTAGTAGTGTTAGTAAACTTTTTTTACTCTTTCTTGATAGTAGGATTATAGTAAGAACATTGTACTTTTAGTAACTTCATTCATGTCATATGTCAAAGATCTGATTTGACATTATTTAAGATGTTGTAATGCACTCTACATCTGAGACTCAAACTGGACCAGTGTAATATGACAGTGTATCCTGCTTGTGACTCCTCTCACTTTGACCTCTATCAGACATGCTGGGTTAGGACATTATTTCATACATTATGCAAATAACCAGGACTAACGATTATTACACCGCAATGTGTTAATTACTTTTTTTTTTTCACCCTGGCCTGAACATCCTGTTATACTCAGAGTCAGGCCAGTGGAGCTGACAAATAACACTTTACTCCTAAAGCACATCAAATTACTGAGTCCAAAACCAAGGTCTTTGCACTGGCAGATGGCACTGAATGGAGAGGAGGGGGGACTAAACCCTGGCTTTCCCAAAACACTACACAGGTCAGGAATTATAATCCAGAATGACCTGATGAACTGTGTGCAAATCCTGTCACCATTCAATTCAGATTGAATACTTTTCTGAGAACATACTAGTGTCCATTAAGAGGCATAATGCAAGTATGCTTTTGTCCCCATGCTCATATGCATCTGGCATATTGCATTTATATAACAACCAGAACCACAGTATTCAAGGTTGTAATTATTTAGATAATATGATGTTCTCTTTCATAAAATATCTTGTCTCCTTGGGGTCTTATAAAAAATGTGCTAACCCCAGAGTTTAGTAGATTTGAAAGCCAGTTTGACTTTTTCATCCATTGCTACTAAAGCCCAATTTGTGCACCTCTGCAAAGATGTTCTGAAATCTTGTATTTGTTTTGTTACATATTTCACTATCAAAAAATCTAATGCTGGTTTAAAATGTGTACTGTAAACTGAATCCTGATTTAATACATAAATTGCTAATTTAATCAAGTAGGCCTATTTGTCAAAAGAAAAGGGCATCTACATATTTTTCCAAAATAGATGTATGGTCAGTATGATTTTTGTTTTTAAGTGAGCAGCTAAATCTAAAGAAATTATACAGTACTGAAACCCTACTTTACTTTATGTCATTCACTTTGAGATAATAAAAGTCCTCTATGGCAGATTTACTCTGATCACCACCGTTCTAGGTCAAAAACTTGAGAGTGGCACCAGCAGATTGTTACCTAATTCACACTTGGTACATGGCCCGGTTTAAACAGCTGGGTGACTTTGAACAACTTCTGCACAGAATGCTGCATCACTATTAAAGTATCTATGACTTGAGATGTGAATCTAATTTCAGTAAACTCACCTCTCCCTCTGACAGTATAGTTTGATGGGTGCTGGAGGGGCTGTGACTCGGGGCAGGATGCACTGGAACAGTCTGTACATTAGAGAAAGCAGAGGGGATTACACTGTCATGGGATGGTCCTGCAGACCTGTGGGTGTCCCCGCTGTAGGCCGCCTGGTAGCTGGTCTCAGGAGCCACGTGGGATGCCTCTGTCCCAGGTGTAGCACACTGAATAGGCTGATTTTTCCTGCTGCTTTTAGCCGGCTTCACTCCTGTCCAGGGCCTAAACTCTTGTCTGGAGGGAAAGAAAACTTGAATAAACAATTGTATTTTAGATGTTATTCCAAGGTAAGGAATACTTTGAATTGCTATTTATCTAGACATACCCACCTGTATGAACTGGTTGGACTCGGTTCGGTGCCCTGCTGCTGCCCCGGGACTTTGTCCCCTCTGCTCCCTCGGTGAGGGCTGTCAGAACCCGTCCTGATCCAGGGAAAGTTGTCCTTCCTGGGGATGGGCCACGGTTTATAATCCTGCTTGTACTGAGTTACGGAAGGGAAAGGCACGCCGGGAGGCTGGTAGTCCTCACGAGGTTTGTAACTAGGCTCCCTCACCGTCCTGAAAGAGCCGCGCGGTCCCCGGGCGTCCGAGCGCGCAGAACCGGAGTTAGTGGCGCGCGGAGGGCTGGAGTAGTCGTTAGCAGGTGCGCGCTCTGACGCGGATACCTGTTTAGTGACAGACCGCACTTCGTGCTCTGTAATGTCCGAGTAGTTTTGTATGGTCAGTGGGACTGACAAGTCCGACTTATCGAACTGGTTCCAGAAGCGAGCCAAACAGCACACTCTGCTGATGCACGGCCATGCCATCCCCGTGCCGTGCGTAAAAGGCAAAGGAAGAAGAAAAAAAATAAGATGTTAGAGAAGGGGTCGATGATCGGTTACATGGAGTCAAAGTAATAACTCCATGCAGTCTGTGCCCTAAAGTCCATAGGCTTATCAGCGGCAGCAGCAGAGGAGTGCTGGGCAGCCAGAGGAGCTGCTCTGCCATGGACCGTCATTGAATATTCTCCTCACGTGGTCTGTGACAGCGCTCATCTGCGCGGGGAAATGTGTGGGAATTATTCTCATTCTGCGCACCAGTACAGCAGTAAGGCAAACAGGTGAGTAGAATAATTAGGCTATATTTAGGATACCTGAGTAGGCTTACATTTTTAATAAAAATGTATTCAGACACCAAAGGCTATGGGTTTATTATGGCATGGTTTGAATGTGTTCTTGCACTGCTCCTTCAGATGAGAGCGTCTACAGCGCATGCATGCCGCTTAGTTTAGTTGATTTTGAATGCATTTATTAATCATAATTTAGCTGAGGCCGTAGTGCTGAGGTTCGACTGATTCAACCAGGGGTCCGACATAAAAATATTGCAATACTGCCATCTGTTGGATAGACGTAGAAACGCATCTACGGCTCTCAGTCGATCTTCCACCTTTGTCGGTCAGTATGGATGAATAGTTTTACATACATGTGTAATTTACGATTTACCGGATTAACTTTTTAGGAACTTTTCTGGAGGGGTTGTAAGTGACAATTTCTGCGTTGACGTTTATTTTATTTATTTATTTATTTTATTGTAACATCGTGTAACCCCCTGCTCTATGCTTTCAAGGTCTCCACGATATCGTACTCTGCATTGGCAAAGTTCTTTGGCGCATGTATGGTAGCCTATGACTTGTTTTTCTGCCTGTTTGAAAGGAGCAATAACAGTACAGAACTTTCATTATAACTCATTGGTACAGAGGCTGGGCAGCTGTTGTAGCCTTGTAGCTAGCCCATGTGTTTGCACTCCACGCGTTGATCATAGATCTCATGTGTCCCATCATGAATTCGGGTTTAAGACCGTGAGATCTGATATATCGTAATCAATAACACGTTAATCGTAAATTCAATGATGGAATTAAATTGCGAATATTGGGCTTATACAAAATGTTACGTTGTGAGGGAGTAATGTTTTATTTGTTTTGCTGTAAAGTCCTTACAGCTGGCAGAGTGACTTCCGGTGAGAAAGTAAAGGATCCGGTTAGGAAGAAAGACACTAAAATAAGAGACCTTTTTGTCTGTTATATATGCATTATACACATTATCTCACTATGAACACAGCACACAATAATATGGGCATACTAAAGGTCAAAACAAGTATTCGAATGTTCTGGCAGATTGACTTGCTCAGATGTCCAGAGGTGGAAAGTAATCATGTATCTGTAGTTTAGGTAAAGTTTTGAAGTGGATATTTCACAGAGGCTCAGTAAATCCTGGGCTTAACTCTGGCTAATCTGTCCTGAGGCAACTCAGAGTTTTCTGTTTCACTAAACAGATTTAGAGCAGAGTTAAAAAAATAGTCTGATAGTAAACACTGAGTTTAGCAGAAGACTTTATCAGTGAAGCCCAGAAACCATGGCAATGGGAAATTAGAGGAATTAGAAGTCATGAAGTAATGTGACTGTGTATCAGGTCAGGTCAGGTTTCAGTAAAATAAAAATAAAGAAAAGCATAAATGAATACATGTGAAATCAATGAATTCTTGTTAAGACTATAAGTGCACCTGGTCCATCTGTAACTGACCAATTAGAGCTTTCCTTCAAGGAGCAGACTGATTAAACTCGGGATTAGAGGAATAAAACCTACTCTGGACCAGGTTAGGTTCACAGAGTTACCATGGTGACTGATTCAGGGTTTAGGTTAACTCTCTCCATTGACCACTTTTCAGGGTTGACAACGTCGGCATTTGGCGTAAACCTGCTTCGTGTAACAGGGCCATAGACTGTACAAAGAAATACACTATGGTTTTAGTTTACTTCAAACATTTAAGAGCAGGTAGGCTATCCATACTTTCTACTCAATAAAATTTGAATTATATTACTTTTTACTTTTTTACTTTTAAAAGTACTATTTAAAATATGTAGATTATATAGTAGAATTTTTACTTGAGCATCGGCTTGAATACTTGGCCTACTGCTTCCACCACTGCAAATGCCATTACATAAATTTTTATAAAAAAGACATTATCACACCTACTTTATTTTTTATTTTGATAAATGTTTTTGTGGAGCATGTAGTGATTTGTTGATTATACTTTTAAACAGAATATGGAACATTTGCCAGAGGACAACTCAAGGTACAAAGATGTCGACTACTGGGATGAACGCTACAAGACAGAGCAGTGCTATGACTGGTTGGGTGACTTCTCCAAATTCCAGCATCTGATGGGACAGCACATTAAAAAAGAGGACTCCATTCTTGTACTTGGTAAGCTTTAGCCTTATTTTGTATGCATTATTTCAATTAAACATTTTTATCATCAAGTTAATTATTACATTGCATGAATCTCTTTACATGTACTTTTAATAGTAGTTAGACAGTGATTGTTGTGGTGACTTTGGTTGGTTGGGCCAGCCTCTGTCCTGTCTCTTGGGATTTTCCAAGTGTCTCTTGCTTGTCACTGTGATGGTCAATTCAATGTGCATGCCTGTCACTTAGGGCCCTATTAAAAGTGATCCTGTTAGACACTTGAATCCTTTGCTTCAGAAGAGGGACCATGAGTCATTATATAACTGCAGATTAACCCTCTACATTTTCAAGTTGTTATGCTGCATTTGTAATGGAAAAGTTTAGATGAAAATCTGTCCACTAGGTGACACTGCTCCACAGAAAATATAGAGAAATAGTGTGGATCACTACACACAGTCCTGGTACCTGCAGTACCTGATTTCCATACTTCCACAGCTCCAATATTTTAATACATTTGTAAATTTTTTGGGACCAATTAAAATAAGAAATATATTTAAATTACACCACTAAACTGTAAAAGCATGTCATGTAAATTGCATTTAATTCGAATAGTAAATCTTCAAAACATTTCTGTTTCTTAAGCTCTTGATGTTAATGTATAAGAACAAGCTGAAGCAATGGAACTCATTACTGGATTGCTGTACTTCTACAGGGGGATAGATGCTCTATACTCACTCTCTGCTATACACACACACGCACACACATTTGTGCGTGTTTGTGTTTGTTGGGGGGTTGTTAAATTTGTGTCACCGGGTGACAGGGGCTTTCTGTTTCCATTGTGTAAAAGGCTTGGAGGAAAAGGGGAGCTTGTCATACCTTTTATTGTGCTTACTTAAAGCTATTGTGTTTTTGTCAGGTCCTAATTCTTCAAGACAAAGTCTCTTTCAATATTATGACAACAAAATTATTCCTGTGCTAATACAGTGGTGTCACACAATTGTGAATAACATGTAAATGAGCTCTTATTGTACAATCCTTGAATGATAGATACATAGTATACGGTTTGGGTTTTCCAGGGTGCATCATAGGTACACCTACAGCAGAGGCGTCAGTGAGCTCTAGAGCCTGATGTATAAAATAATGTTGTGCTCATCTCTGCACAGCACTGCAGTAGACATTACCAGATCTCCCATTTAGAGCCAGAACAGAGGCATTAAAGTGCTCCAGGGCTCTCATCTCACAGGGCATCTCAGTCACTTTGTTAAATCATGGAAATGCACATTTCTGTCAGCAGCACGTGTTGTGGCCTTCTTCAGCAACACACATGCACAAACTAGGAGCTATATAGGGAAGCCTGCTGTAAAGATGCAACCGTGCTCACGTGTTCTATAGACATGAAGAGCTCTTAACAGCACTTAAACACTGTCACGCTTGGACAAATGCCTGCCATGGCAGGACACACATCCCTGCCTAACTCCACTTGTCAAGTCTGTAAATCCACACAGATTATTGGCTTGTATGAAGTGACACAATAAATTACTGTCACTGTAGCAGAGGGGGTTGAAAAAAGACGAGAGAAAACATTGGAGAATTTAGGGGAGAATTTAGGGGAGAGATTGGAGGTACTGTAGTGCTTTGGTGTGATGAGTAGATAAAGGTATGGTAAATGACTAATCAGGTTTGGGCCACTCCACAGTTTCAGATAGGGGTCATTTCCATTAAGCTAATGTGAGAAGAGCACAGAGAAAGACTCACTGGAGGCTAGGGAGCATCCCTGCATACTGATTCTGTTTTATGCTGTCTTCTGGGTTTTCACTGATCTGCATTTTTATTATGTCTGTCAGTTCATGTAAATAAAGCTTTCTTTTCTCTCATCTCACTGTTTTAAGGTCCCACCTTATAATTAACATGCAGACATCTATGTAAATATAAATATTGCAGTAAACTGTAATTCAGGTGTTCTTTGGTATAGTCCTATACTCATTTTTAATAATGTTTGTTGCATTTTTCCAAAATTATAACAGCGAATACATTTTTTCATCAATCTAACTTCAGAAGAGGCACTTTTCTGTGAACCCTGTGCACTCTTATACACTCTTGTGAGTGTATAATGCAAAAGGCCCATGCCATGTGGAACATGTACCATAAGAAATGTAACTGTAATTTCTGTTTTATCCAAGACATCTTTATTGTGCATTATATAGAAAAGCTTAGATACAATAGTGTCTGGGAGAACAAGACCCAGGAGCATAAGTCCACGGTGAAGGATTGTGTTCTGCCCACTCAGACTCCCACAACAGCTCCTGTGGCACTAAAGTTACTTTAATAGGAATAAATAAAATAAATGGTTATATGCATTTTTGTCGGGGTTATAAAACAGGAATCATGTGACAAATTTCACTTTCCAAATTAAACCTGGTTTAAGGAGTATATTAGATTTCATGGTGTCAATGTGTGACATAACTTTGCTTGCATTGGCCAGGCTGGTTGTGTGGTGAGGCCTGAGGTTATGTGTGTCATAGCATTGCGTCAAACTATCCTGGACCCCCCTTTTGCCCCCACCTGTCTTCTGTATTAGCAACATTACCAAACATTAGCGCTGCTGATAAACCTGGTCCAATGATCTTCTCTTCTTTTTATGGCCTGCTTCAGGCGCCGGCCAATGATGTTATGAACCCACATCTCCCAGTGGTCTGAGTGAGCACCAACTTTGACGATCATCCCGCAGACACTGGGGTATGATGTCACGGTTATGTTGCCCTGGGCTGTGCGAGTGGCAGGCTTGTAGGGTCAGACTACTTTATTCCCATATTTTACATGAAAAAGCCTTACAGTGCATTAAGAATCCTTTTGATTGATTCCATTCCAGTAAATATCCATGTTACAGTGTATTACACAAAACAGGACTATAAATTGTGGAGAAAAAGAAATTAGTAATTTATTTTCTTCCATTGTCAGAAAGACTATACTGCAGGGGTTCTAACCCTGGGATCCAGAATGCACACTTCTGTCTCCAATACTTGAGAATAGTATTGGAGAGGTTTCTTTTTTCTTTAAATCAGCACTGTAGTCATGCTTTAAACAAGTCTTTCTTGTTATTGTAGACAATATCTTTATTCTAAATTTCCATATTTTCAGTATAAAATTTTAATATTTACAATATTGCTCTCCTATGCATAAACTCTATGCAGCATACTACATTAACTGAAGCCATAGCCCATTGTCAGTGATTTGATGCTTAAGCATTAGAGACAAGCTTTGAGTTTATCCTACTTTGACCTTACATCACTGAAATGTGTGTGATGAAAGAAGGTGATTATTTGTCAAAGAATGGTGACAAAGCCTATCTGTTGCACAGCTGCTCTATGTCTGTGTGCAGTCAGTACCATAATTACAATGACATGAGTTGTATTAGGCACATTACAGCACAGGGCTGTTTTATCACCTCTTGGCTTACATTATATTGTAAAGTTCTTGACTAGGACATTGAGCGATTTTCATGTGTTTAAAATAAATAATTGAAAATTGTGATCAATTGATATGAGTAAAAAAATATTTTTTTCTGCCAAATTGTACAGCCTTATTTGTTCCAATAACGTATGACACACACACACACACACGCGCGCGCACACGCACACACATGCACACGCATACACACACACACGCACACACACATAGACAGGTGGTATCTGCACATGCTTTGTATCTAGTTTGGTGTTCACAGTCTTTATCCTTCAGAGCTCTCCCTGATTCTATATTGTGTTCCTTACCTCATGTGGCCAGTTTTCCCATGACTTCCTGTTATCTCTTTGTCTACCCTCTCCTGTCTATGCCTCACATTTGACAGTACTTTGGAGACCACCCGAACAGGATCATGCTTGTCTTGTATTTTGCACCTGTGAGGCTGTGAGATAGAGTGCTGGGGAATAAAACAGATCTGTCACCAGGCTTGGACACTTCACGCCTGCCTTTCCTCTTATTGACTGTTCTACTTCCTGTGGCAGACTGGATGGAGCTGGGTCATGTGATCAGATAGACTTGTATCAGCCTGTCACTGGATTTGTAGAGATTGTTTCGAGGTGTTGAAGGAATGCATTATTAAATATATAAGAAGTTATATGCAATATAGATCAAAATAACATGTGTTTTGGATCAGGATTCAGACATTGGAGGAAGAAACTGGGCTATTTTTGTTAAATGGCTCCTGGCCTAAATTCATCATACAAGAATGTCTTACTGGATATTACTAGGCCTGTCACAATATGAAATTTTGAAGTGGGAAGTAAATGTAGACAATAAATGATAATATTGAAAATAATTTATGCCACTGATACAATAAGCATAAAGCAGGATTAACCCCAAAAACTATTCTAAAACCATGAGCTGCAATAAATAAAGGGCATAATGAGACACTTTAGTAGTTAGTTTGCATCTATAATGAGTCAAAAAAGTTATTTATTTACCCTCTACAGCTCATATTTTATCACTGTACAGAAATATACCAAAAAGCTCCCCAACTGTACAAAGAAAAAGTACCCCTGATAAAAATTGACCCCAAAATCTGTTACTACTATTATTAACATATACATATATTTAATAAATTGATATAAATTATCATGACAGGCCTAAATATTAGGTATAAAAACAAAAGCATTTGTTTCATACTGAATATAATTACCAAACTCACTGCACCTCCATGTTGCGTCAGATTGCAGCAGAAGAGCATCTACTGTATGAATGGAGTCTGGACTAGTATGAATGAAAAACAGACTGAAGGAGAAAGTACAAAATGTAGCAACAGAGACGGACATCAACATCAACATCTTCATTCATTGCAACACTATTTGATACATGCTTTGTACATACTGTTTCTTGTCTGTGCCTATTGATTATTGGTGTTTTGTTTTTTTTCTTATTTCTCTGGGATTCCTAACTATGGTGCAGTGAGTAAGCCAGTGGGGGCAACCCTCCCTCCAACTATACCCTCCTCTTTTTTGCTGCTGTAAGAGGCGGTCTTC